TTGGGGGTGGAAGGCGGTAGATAATCGTCGCTGAATCGATAGTTTCTCGCAGACGATTCGCCAGAACCCACCTACGAATTGCGAGCCTCGGTCGCTCGTGATCGTTAGCGGGAGTCCGTGGTGCATATAGAAATGCGTTAAGAAGACTTCCGCCACCCGTCCTGCCGTGATTTCTGTCATACCAATTAAGATGACCCCTTTTGTCAACCTATCCGTTATAACCAATAGATTCGTGGCTCCGTTTTCCTTCGACGGGGGTAGGTCTGTGATGAAATCCATTGCTATTTCGGCCCAGATTCGTTGGGGAATCGGTAACGGTTTTAACAACCCGTGTTTCGTATCGCGCCAGACTGTGCTCCTTCCACATACCGTACAGTTTCGTAGGAATCGTCGTACATCTTTGGCTGCGCCGGGCCAGAAGAACCGTCGAGATAATATCGAGTATGTGGCGTCTCGTCCTGGGTGCCCGGTGATATGAGAATCGTGAATCTTCTGGATGATCCCTGTGCGTAATGGCTCGCTGTCTGGGATCCATAATCGCTGGCGGAAACATAGTAGCCCTCGTTCATCGAGGTGACATTCCGATAGGCTAGTCTTCACGCCCGTTTCGGCGGCGATTCGGCGGTCTCCCTGCTGTAGAGCTTGGGAGTATAGCTGATATGTGCCATCTGTCGCCCTGCCCTTCTTCCATTCCTCCTGTAACTCGGGTTCTTCAAAGAGGGAAACTGGGGTATTGAAGTCTAATCGCGCTTCTTCCTCTGAGGCATCGGTGACTGCTTGTCTTGGTCTGCTCAGTCGAACCGAGACCTTTTCGAAGAGGGTTCGGAACCGATTCGATAGTCGTTCGTCAGTAGCATCCTGTGGTATATCTTGGCCCCGTCGTGAGAGTGCATCGGGAAGCACTGCGAGCTTCCCAGGCCGATAGTGTAACGTGAAGTCGAATTCTGCCATTAAGCCTGCCCATCTCATCTGCCGTTCACTAAGGTGCTGCGCTTTGTTGAAGTATCGTAGGTTTTTATGGTCCGTTACGATAGTGAATCGTGGGACCATCTTCAACTCGGGCCTCCATTCCCGTAGTGCGCGTATGATCGCTAGCAACTCCTTGTCGTGGATCTCGTAGTTCGACTCTGCTGGGGTCAATTTCTGCGAGATATAGGCACAGGGGGCCAACTGGCCGTCGTCTTGTCGTTGAGATAGTACAGCTCCCGTAGCCCATCCGGATGCATCGGTTTCTACTACCGTCTCTCTTTCTTCTTCGAAGTGTGCTAGGATTGGGGCGTTAATAAAGAGGTCCTTGAGTTCTGTGAAGGACTGCTGGCAAGCTTCATCCCATTGGAACACCACGTCCTTCTTCGTGAGCCGGGTCAACGGTGCCGATAAGGCAGCGAATCGGGGTATAAACGATCTATAGAAGTTGGCGAATCCGAGGAATCCGCGCACATCGCGTACTGATTTCGGGGCTTCCCACGCACGTATTGCTTCCACTTTCTTCGGGTCCACGTGAATTCCCTCGCCTGCACGGATAATGAATCCAAGGTATTTAACAGAGCTCTGTTCGAACTCCGACTTTCCAATGTCGCATTGCAACCCCGCGTCCTTAAGCTTCCGTAGCACTTCGTGTACTTTTCGGCGGTGATCTTCTATCGAACCGCTAGAGTAAATGATGATGTCGTCGACATACGCTGATACAAAGTCGTCGAGGTACTCTTGTAGGGTTTGGTTGATGAACCGTTGGAATGTCGCTGGCGCTCCGGTGAGGCCAAAAGGCGTAACATTCCACTCAAAGAGGCCGTATCGGGTACGAAACGCTGTCTTCCATTCCTCTCCTGGTGCTACCCGTACTTTGTGAAACGCTGCGATGATATCCAGTTTCGTAAACCACTTCGCTTTCGCCATATTCCGTAGGGTTTCTCGGATAAGGGGTAGTGGATAGCGATCTTTTACGCTTAGGTCGTTTAACCCCCTATAATCGACACAGAATCGAACTCCCCCGCCCGGTTTCCTCACTAGGAGTACTGGGGCGGCTGCGGGTGACTTGCTAACACGGATGAAGTTCTTATCCAGTAGATCTGTCAACGTTTTTCGTAGGTATAAAAGCTCCTCTTTATTCATTCCGTATAGTGGACCGTAAGGCGGGTGTTCTTCGTTACCATTTCGGTCGCGATTCAGTGGTATCTTATGGTCGATTCCAGGTCGATGTGGTGGTAGCTTATCAGCTAACTGTTGGCTAAAGACATCCAGCCATTGCCAGTACCGTTTCGGTAGCTTTTCCTTCAAATCGACATGCTTCTTAGGTCGTAGTGCTTTGTCGATATCGTCTAGCGTGACTTTCCCAATCTGTAGACGATCCGGTCGAGGGGTGCTATCGAATAGCTGCCGAATCGACTTGGCTGAAGCGCGGTTAACACGTAGTGCTTTTGCACCGACCGGTCCGATGGTCCTATTCTTTCGATTCCAGCATCTGGTTTTCTCTCTGGTTTTAGAGAAAATGTCCATATATCCTTTGTTCGGCGAGTATATTCCATCGACGTCCTTGATCCACGGGAGGCCAAGAATGATTTCGTCTATCTGGTCCTCAATGATATACGCAAAGATCGTACCGTTCTGGTGGCCGTGGATATCCGCATTGAAATACGTGACGTGGGTGATTCGGCCCTGATTCGCTACCACTCCGTCTAGCTGTCGGGGACGAATCTGTATGCGCGGAAGGTCGAGAGATTTAGCGAGTGCTCCATTTACTGTTGCGTAGCTTAGACAGCCATGATCGACTAGTGCTTCTGCAAACTGGATTCCATTCACTCTAACGTCAACTAGGAACGGTGGTTCCTCGCTTCTGTCTAGTTTCTCGACCCCCTTTCGCTCCTGCTCGCGGCTAAGAACAGGAGCTACTCGTTTTCCGACTCACTATTGGTCTGTACGCTCTCTTCTGTCGAACTAGGTTCGGTATCTTCCTCGACTACTGCTCGCGATTTATTGATACGGGCGGTTCGTTTATGTTTCGGCGGCTTTTCGCTACTGTCGCGATCCTCCTTCCTTTTCGGCTTGCTTGCCGCCACGCGGTTTTTCTGCTCTGGGCGTCTTGCTGGTAAGAGCGGGCACTCCGAAATCCAGCAGCCGGGCTTTCCACAACGTAGGCAGCGGCCTTCTTCCCGGCGGCTGCTTATCTCTTCTTCACTAACCCATTGTGCTCTCTTTGGTCGTTCGTGGCGTTCGCGACTGATTCGTCGGTGATTCGCGTGCGGATCGACGCGGTTTACCGATACCGTCGGGGTCCAATCCATTTCATCTACAGATTTCGTAGAGCGGCGAGTGGGCGGTTTACTTATGTTCAACGCGTCCATATCTGTGCTAATTTCGTGAAGACGGGAGATCAAGCCTTGGAAGGTGGCGGGTATACCACGATTCATCAGCGAATTGCTCATAGTTCGATTTAGGGAACCGAGCAAGATCTGTCGCTTAGCTTCGTCGGGCCATTCTAGTGCTCCAGCGTCGGCGAACTCCTTTTCTAGCCGTGGTAGGAATTTCGAGAAAGCCATACCTTCAGATTGATTGATCTGGTGAAGGCGTCGGGCAGCCCGTGCTTGTGCGTTTGGGTCACCATAGATCTTTTCTAGGTAATCTAGGAGCTCTTCCGGGGTGCCGTCGTTTCGTCGGTGTTTCACATACGTCCCGGTGTTCTTCCAGGCGAGCTTCTCTAGCCGGGAGAATACGTACATAAATTGTTCGTGTGTGGCACCAATGGCTTCGCCATCGACTGCCAGTTTGTTTTCCATCGTGATGCGCCATGTAGGCCAGTCATTTACACTTCCCGCGAATAACACTGGGTCGGGGAGTCTCGCTCTTGGTCGGCGGTAGGGCTCTCCGATACTCGACGGCGTTTCGGTGGCGGTTCGTACTTGTTCCGTGACCGTTTCGCTAGTGATCTCATCGGTTTGATTGCTGATGCCTTGTTGTGCTATCATCTCTTCGAGGCGGCGGATTCGCTCTCCTTGTGCGGCGGAGAGTCGTTCCTGGGTTGCCGCGTGCTGCTCTTGTGCAGTCACCATCCGCTGTTGGGAGGTAGTGAACTGCTCCATTGCTTCGCCATGGGCTTGTTGATTCCTCATCATCTGTTGCATTATAGCTTCCACCCACTGTGGGGGTGTACTCTGCTGAGCCTGAGGTTCCATGGTTACTGGTATTCTGTTGGTGCTTCGTCGCTGAATCGGGGGTGATTCAGGGGTAATTCTTCTGCTATGCCTAGGGATTGTCGCTTCTAGGGCTTTTCCGTTGGGGTCCGATGGTTTAACGATAAGAATCGGAAGATTGATGTATGTGAAGGGCTGAAGCTTTATTGATTCAATTAGGCTAGGCCAACATGCTGTTTACATCAATCTTAGAGAAAAGGTAACTATCTACTGGCGATGGGGGTTTATGTATGTTATGGGCACGTGCCTCACGTGATCCAAGCCGGGCTCTGGCCCGTTACAGTTAGAGATAATTGACAAAGAGGAGTAAGCCAACCTCGTACGGAGAATTTGGGAGGCCGCTATCCGTTAGGATGAAGTATCGGCACTTCCCCTCTACGTAGACCTTTTATAGAACTCTCTAGGGGCCCCAGATATGGAACTGGCAGACTATCTTCTGGAGCTAAGCACAAGATTCTTAGTTTAGAAATACCTCCGAAGGGAAGCAAATAAAGAGTAGTTTTATTATTATAGAACATACTACGCTAAGGTAAGTATACCTATTCAGCGGTTGTAAGAATATAGATTGACTACTTCCAGAATACGGATATAATCCGCGATAACCTAAAGAAAAAGCTAGCCAGAATTCCGGAATCGCTGTGGAATTTGCTCCGGTCAAGTTCCCCGATCAGAACAGCGGAGGAAGAGCTGATTACACTATTCAACAGCGCCCCGGTATATTCAGCTCCGAACTTATCTTTCGCTATAACGGTTTAGAGAGTTTTGAAATTATATATAGCTCTCTATAACAGTATAAAGTATACGATGTGACGGTTAGCGGGGCGCAGCATTCGGCTCCCATTGATCCGTCGCGCTGCCGCCCTCGACCGCCTGCCCAAGTCCGGTCGGCCAATGCCTTTCTAGGGATAGCGTATTTTGGTGGTACCTGTCTAGGTTTAGCGGGGCCCTGGCCGCTTTTACCGCCTGGTCCGCCAGCCGTCCATCTATAAAACACCGCTCTCCGTCCTCTCGAATTGACCACGCACTTTCTCTTCTTTGTTCCCTTCCCTTTCCTTGACCCCTTTTTTTCAGCTATTGAAAAAATTCGTGCGTCTTACAGCGCCACCTGGCGCTCTGACCCATCACCTCGCCGAAGATGCCGCTCGAACCGACGGTCAGGGCCGTTCTGGCCAGCGTTAGTTACAACCCAGTCCACAATTGCATCACTACAGCTACCACATGCCATGGTCTACGATGAGATGAGTCAATGTCAAGACATCTTGAGATACTGTCCTTCCCTGGGCCATAATAGGTCTTTCTGCACGAGTCCAGTGGTGCAAACTCTCACTCTCGCCCTCCTACTACCCTGGCTCGTGACCTCTATGGCAGGCATTTGTCGTCATCGTCGGGGTCTCCGAAACTTTCTCGCCCCATTGATGCCCCTCTGAAACAATAGACTCATTGAACAAGCCAATGGCGAAAATACCTCATTCATTCCCGGCTTCAATTTCTGTCTCTGCCTACATCATGGGACCAAAAGTGGATTGTTACGTGAATCACACGATCCTGTCCCTGATCCTGTTTCTCTTGGCGCATGGCGATCACAATGGAACAATTCGGAGGTGCCTTCGTCATGAATTATGGCCAGAGAGCCTTGCCAGTGAGTTATGTAATTGTCACTACACAATTGCTGCCGATGGTGATGAGTCGGATTAGCTTCAGCTTGTGGGATCTTGGCTACCGGTGAATTCGCGAGCTCCGCTAGTCATGATTCTGCATATAAAGGGTACCCTCATCCCCTATTCTTGACATTCAGATCGAAACCTCCCTTTTCCCCTTAATTCTATCCCATCATCTTCAACCCTTTCCTTCCCGTCCCCAATCGCTGTACCCTCTCCAGCCTGCTGTTAGACGAGCGTGCCCCGAATTACCCATCCCCAAGTCCAAACATCCCTTTCCCTCACGACAATGACAAGTGCAATTTATCGCCTGGATTCGTTTCGGCCCTGGAACCCTTTCCATGACAAACCACAGGCACTAACTTGTCGTTACCCAAGCCCCATCTCAATGACAGCCACCCAAGCTTCGGTGTCAGATGAAGTACCTGATATGCATACCTATGTCGACAAAGCTCAACGACATCCTCTTCCCGCACGGCCGCCGAAAGAGGTATGCTTGAATATTGAAGCTCAGTCACCTTTGCCATCGATCGTGCCCGAGTTCAGAACTCCACAGCAAACTATTACCGTGGAGAATAGGCACCGGAGTTCTACCCCACAGACCCCGGTGACCACAGCGCACATTGATCCCAAAATTCTGGATCATGCCTCTTGTTCAATTGCTAGACATCCCAGTAAATCTTCATCCTGCCAGGAGGAGGAGGAGGATGTTGATACTGCAAGCATTTCGGAAACGTCCTCTGTACTACCTTCCACCTTCGACAACGTACTTCCAGCCGAGAACCCTGGACAACATTTCCGAGCGGAGCTGGTGACTACGCATCGACAAACTGCATCTGTGACGAAGAGCTGTCATACTCGGAAAAACCCTATGAAAAGTGGCTCCAGTCGACGTGCTTTGCGAGAAACGACTTCTCACAACAGCCCCACTTTTTTCTCTGTTCGTTCTCAGTTCTTTGCTATGTCATTACAAGATCGATTGCAATTTGTATCCTGGTTATTCGAGGGCGCCCTATCCCAATGTGTCTCACAGCCCATGGGAGCGGATACAGCATCTGCATCGAATTGTGGAGCATTTGATCCAGATACCATGCACAATCTTGCGCACCCAACCCTCGACTGGTTCCCACATCAGGGATCCAGATTTGAACCACAGGTCCACGGAGATATACCACCTTGTGAAGCGGGCGAAAATGAACTAGAAGACGATCAGCTCGAATATGAGATTGAAAAGATCCTCACTCATAGAAGTGATGCGCATGGCTCTGTCTCATACCTTGTCAAGTGGAAAGGCTACGGTGATGCCGATGCGACTTGGGAACCAGGATATTCATTAAGGGATACGATTGCGTTAGAGAACTACGAGTTACAACGAGCTATCAAAGCGGACAGAGTCTATGAGACACCGGATTGCAGTCGCAAAGCTGATCGGGCGCGGAGCAAAGCCTTTGTCACCCGTCGGACGCACTCGATCGCCAAGGGTAGCAGCACGCGCAGCAATCCTATCATAAGGAAAGGTCTTGCATGGTCTCTGGAAGAAGTCGATTTTCTAACTAAGCTAAAAGCCCACAATGATCTTCCCTGGTCGGCTATCCATCGGAGATTCTCGCAGAAATTCCCTGGTCGGTCTAAAGGCTCTCTCCAAGTGTATTGGAGCACAAAGATGAAAGACAATCTACAAGAAACGAGATTTGTTCGATAGATACAGTCAGTTCCCCTGTCATCTGTAGTGAAAATGGAGAATGTACTATTTAATTGGTCTACTTGATCAACAACGATTTGATACCGGTGCGAGCACAATCATTGGAGCAATTTGTTCATTCTCTTGTTTGTATTCAGGTGATACCTCTTGGTCAGCTTTTCTTCCCTTCTTTGGGAATTTATGCAGGTCCTCAGTCTCCGAGAGGAACGTGACATTATACTTGATTCATTGAAACCCCTCAATGGTTACACTTTACAAGACGAGATTTAAGATCATGTTGGGAGAGAATACTAATAACGTCTATTTAGCATCGTATGGAGAGAGGTGTGGGTAGTGGTCCCATGCGAATAAGCTCCAGATATACGCAACGAAGCATCGATTTCACGCAGACTTCCTGGTGCTAAAGCCTGACACGAAGTCTTTCTGGCCAATGCGATGCGGACAGATAACCTAATGCACTTTATACAGCCTGGGTTTAATTCCTGATTGTCTTCATGAGCCGAGGGAGCCTACTTATGCTATGATACGATTGATGATTTCTTAGGACAAGATTATCTAGTCTATATGCTGAATTAGATCCAGAGACTCCATGACCAGTTCCGGAGTAATCCAGGAGCGTCCTTGGAGTAGCCGGAGCAATCCAGGAGCAGTCTTGGAGCACTCTTGGGACACTCTTGGAGCAATCCAGGAGCTGTCAGGAGGCTCCTGGAGCAATCCCGGAGTAATCCGAGAGTACCTGGATCGTTTCCGGAGCTCTCCCACCGCTTAGCGCCCTCAGTTACGGGGTTTCTTAAAATCGCCTTGACCACTACACTGTGACCCAGCCTGTTCCGGCCCCACTGCTAGGATCTTAGCGCAGCTCATCAATAGCACTGGTCACACTTAGTTGGAGAATCCTACATAACGATTCCGTGTACGATACTGTATCTCTCCCTTCAGAAATAGAAAAACGAAACATCATAATACGCTTTGCATTGGTGTACATGTTGACGGTCCTTTCTAAGAAGCATATTCTAGTGGACCGCAAATTCGCGTTGTGGACCAAATGAATGGTAAATGAATGATCCGCGCTAGGGTCTTGTCATTAAAAGTAAGACAATTCCTATACAGACAGTGTCAGTGTGTACTGGTCAGGGCAATTTCCAGAAACCATGTATTTTTTTTATCAATGGATGCATAGAGAATCTTTCACTGTGACTCTACAGTTACCGTATCATGCTCTAATTAGTAGGGTCCGTTTACTACGCAAACCTGCCTCCGATAAATTATACGTACTCTCAAGTCAAATGCTGCAGTTCGGTTTTTGCTACGGATTTACAGTGTAATGGTCTTTCCATTTCTTTTTATTGGTGCTGCTGAGGTAGTATATGCTTAGCCGATGGAAAAGGTTTCTTGATTCCAGGATGAACCACCTCATGGTACAATCTTCCCCAATACCTACCACTCCATAAAGACATACTGTAAACTGGGACTAGCTAGGTGAATCAGTGCTGGCCCGCAAAGAGTCGCCACTCACCGAAAATCTGTGCATTTCTTGTCTTCCATGTGACTTTGAATGGGTCAGGTCGGCCCAGCGCTTCAGATATTACGATTTATTGATGGGGCGAAATGAAGCGAACAAGTCCTGAACAGGTGCAAGGTTTACTTCTCCCAAACAAAGCAAAGCACGCTTAGTAAATACCCCGGCTGCCGAGCCCCTTTTTCGATACGATTATTACTGAGAACACAAGATGAACAACGTGTAGTTGGACGAAGAGAACAGCTGTCAGAATACCAATGATTTACCTACAACTATAAATCTTAAACCACACAAAATCGAAGGTTGGTCAAAATTGTAGCTGCATTCCTTGTAGGGCTAACTGATTGCTCAGACCCCTATTTAAAGACTAATTCAATTGAGTTGTTGCGAGTGGGTTAGAACAAGATAAGTTAGAGCCTCCTGGTGGATCAGCTAGGGTTCCTAGGGTGGGAACTGACGCTGGGGCTGGCTATGCCCTGTCCCGGGATAAGCGGTGCGTATCCCAGAGGCACGACATTGGATCCTGGGAAGCTATCAGCCCCAGGAACAATCAACCTTTTAATGTCAGTGTGCGAATCCACCACAGTAGTAGACCCTTTAACATTACCCGTTACAGCTTTCAGAGAATTAAGGCCATTCCAATCTGCTTTGGGCTCCTGGGACTTTACAATTTTTACATCGACGTAATTATCAGTAAGTTAAGCTCCCTTGCACTACGACAAATGCAGAAAATCAAGATATAAAATAGCTAGCCCCTATGTGATATTCAAGTCCATCTTGGTTATCATCGATGTCCAGGTACTACAAACTTGATTCAATTGAACAGGTCCTCATCACCTTTCTGAGGTGTATCACCAAGTACTGCCCACCAAAACGACACATTTCTCTGAAACTTCAACTCATCATGGTGGGCTGCCAGTCGTCAGGTTCAGAGATTCTTCAGCGTTCGAGTATTAGAGGCGACGAAGGTCACGATTCTAGCATGGTCGATGAACATGATGCGGATAGAAAGACCGTGCCGATGAACTCACCTGAGTTCTGGAACGGGGCGGATATGGAGCATCTTCATGTTATACTGAACAGCTTCATACTCAATGAATCTACTCCTGAGTCAACGTATGCTAAGTACCCCGGCTGCCGGAGCTTCGACTGCACCCGCATCTTTCCACACCTAGAGTCGACGGGCGGTCAGCAGGGAAAAAGGAAAATTGAGACGGACGGCGTTGAATCAGGTGAGTTACAGTACCTTCCCTGTTTTCCTTTCTATTTTCATGTTGTTTAAACTAATATAGTGACAGCTTCAGGATCGAAGAGAAGTCGTCAATTTTGTGGTAGTGGTTCAACCTCTATGGATTTTCCACCCCTCTCTTACAAAGAGTTCAAGTGTCTTGGAGGGGTTGACCAACAGCAATACTACAATAGCACGGCTAAAGCTTCTAGTGCCTGGAAGACCTTTGTGACCTCATGCCCCCGTATTGATAGGATGGTTTTTCAACACTATGAGACCAATAATCGACTGACTATCGCTGAGAGGGAGGCGGCATATTCTGTGCAGGAACACATAGAGCGGACGTGGCGCTTATCCAAGCCACCACTCCCTGAGTTCCGAACAAGACATACACCCCGAAATATGAGCGAACAAACTTGTTGGTACGATGACGATCTTCGATGGAACTCTTTCAGTTCAAAATTCGAATTCGGGCATTCTCAGCTTTCCCAATCAAGCCACCAGTCGTTAGACGATTTTGAAAGGTTGACTTGTCAGCGCGGTTTTTATAAGCACATATCTTCTCCTCTCATCTTTTACCGCCTCAATAGTCTCGCTGGGGAACTAGAAGTTGAGAGTGACCATTACAAGAGTTCTTGGGATATTACATTTCATCACTCGAACAGCGCTGGCACTACCCTCCGGCTATGGGACAGCAAAGGAAGAGCAAGGGCAGTGTTCTCCGGTTTGAGAGAGGCGGAGGGAGACGCTCTAGAATTGATCAACTTTGTGACCTGTTTCAAGTCTCCCCATACTTATGATGGAGTGATATCAGGCACGGTGGCTTAAATTCCTTTTTGAGATTTCTCACTTCGCAGTACGGAGCAATCCATGCTTGCTTACTAATCGCCTCCAAAGAGAGGCGATCTGAGAAAGCAGGCTCATCAAAACATGACAGGATAGCGCCCGACATATTGCTTTTCCCTTCCAGTCAACGGGCGGGCATGGTAATTTTCCCACTTCTTTGGCGATCCTTTGCCATTGTAAGCAGAATGTATTTAGCAGTCATATCCCAAGATTTACAATATTACAGGAGCACTTGATGAACGTTGCAAGTAGGCTTCTTTCCCAAGACTGAAATCGTCGAATCGAGTGGACGGCATTCCCTTCACCGGTGCACGACCGACACACTCGACAACGGTGGTATCTAGCCCCACCACCCTCTCTCTTTTCACCACCCTCTCTTTTCACCACCCTCTCTTTTCACCACCCTCTCTTTTCACCACCCTCTCTTTTCACCACCCTCTCTTTTCACCACCCTCTCTTTTCACCACCCTCTCTTTTCACCACCCTCTCTTTTCACCACCCTCTCTTTTCACCACCCTCTCTTTTCACCACCCTCTCTTTTCACCACCCTTAACTTATCAGTCCACTAACCGGTGAGTATCCTCTTTTTTATTATTCCGGGGCGCTGGTGATTCGGCAATCCACGGTGAAATCTAGTGAAATCTTGGTCCGTTGTAAGGTACCTGCTTCAACGGCTCTTTGGGTTGTCTACCGGCCCAACTCATCCTAGCCAGCCAAAATGTCGATTTCACCATGGAATCCACCTTTCTACTACTATCCACTGAACTCTAGGCCATGCTTTTCTAATGGAAAGGAAACATCACAAAGTGTTTAAACCAAGGGTATGACCATGGTACGTGGGTGAGCAATTATGTTTACTTTCGAAATAAATCTGCGAAGGCGATTTTAGCTTCTCAAACCAGGCGAGCTCAGTCACGTCGGCGCATTTTAGCTAATCATGCAAAGTGTAGGAAAACACCTAGAGACTGTATTAGTGTGAGTCATACAGTAGTATTCAATAATACTTCTGCGAGATGCATAACTGTAGGGCAACCAGGAAGGATCTAGGAAGGCGATACTGCTCCGCCTACCAAGATGGTGGAAAGTTTTCTATTGCGTTGGCCCACTTAGAACGGCGCTAACCGTCTGACTTTTATGTCGACCGATCGAAACGTCGAACGGTGAGAAAGAAACATGGAAAAGCTACTACTGTATCAACCGCTGGGCCTACCGACAAGAAAACCGGGGAGCTTCTAGTCGCTCAGCGGTACCAGCCAGGATGTAGCCAAGTACATATGCACTCCTGCTGTTTGTCGCGCAGAATGTTACCGAATTCATGCTACTGGATCAGCCTTCCCTGATCGACTTTGCTCGCCATCCTGTTAACCTGAAACCCTTTGCCACCCAAACCCCTTTCGATAGTGAGACGAATGACGTTGATCATGAGCTATAAACAGAGACGTAGCACAACCCCGAGAGTGACGCGAATGCTGATCACGAATGCTGAGGGATTCCGCCTTCCTCGGCCTTCAAAAGGTCACCCGTTGGCTGAATCAGAACCCACTGACTGCTAATGTTGACGACGTTCGAAAGATTGACAAGTGCCTAGCATATTGTATTTTAAGGGGAATGCCGTATTCCCTGGCTTCCGACAAAAACATGTATATCAGACCCAATCTCACGAGAGCGTTGCAAATCTGCGGGCAAGCGACGCATCTCGTTTTCCAAAAAAACTTACAATCTAAGTGGCATAGGACAATATTCAGAGCGCACTTGATACTATGAAGAGCTCGCCGTTGCCGCGAGTCTTGAGGCCAATTCCTGAATTGAATGCGTCACGAAGAATTATCGAATTTTGCACCCCGACAGAGAAATGTCACCGAATGACATGGGTGTTGGTATTAAGTCTCGGGTGTCCGACCTGCCTCTTTAGCGCAAATCAGTGAGCCGGGCTTACGGCCATCCATCAATCAATTAAGATATTTGCTTCGCAAAATTTCCATGGGGCCGGCCGCTGATTACGCAAGGTCACTTGGCAAAAAGCAGTTCAGACCGACCACTTATTATTTGGAAAGATCGCATCTATAACACCAGGATGGTCGCCTCTCAGGACGCAATGCCCATAAACGACGTCGCTTGTTATCTTTGGTAGAGCCTGGTAAAATACAGTACTGAATCTTCTGTAACAAAAGACGTTTCATTGTAGTATACATCTTTAGGCAACTGTTATTCTATAAGGACACGACCGAGGCACAACCGAGGCACACGTTGACGTGCGGTTGTTGCCAAGATTAAATGATTTCATTCATTCACAATCTTTCTTCTGTCGCTTATTATGCTGAATGGAGACTTCCCATTGCATTGGGTGAGTATGAGGCGGTGGTTGGACTGTAGATGCCTCAGGGCTTTGCAAGCAAGGCTGTGCCCAAACCGACAAAGCTTGTACACATATAGCCTGCGGTATATGATTCCCGATCTGGTTCACCTAGAACATCCTTCGAAAATGGAAGACCCTGGTCAAGCGCAAAACGGGTGCCACAGTAACCCCAACAAAACTGAACAAGATGATGCGCGAGTCTTCGGATATGTATGTTAAGCAAGAGCCAAAAGATGACAGTCTTTTCGTCCGACAACCTAAAGCAACGGGTGAGCTGCATCGATCGTCAGCTGCAGCCGATCTTCCTGGTGCCGCGCAGAAATCTGAGAAACGAGAGCCACTCCAATTCAGCAAATGGACTTTATACAGCGGAATTAAGACGCTCAGAGAAGTGGGACACTATGAGCGAAAAAGAGCAGGCAAAGCGCATGGCCAAAGTTGCAAGTTATTACCATTACAGAGAAGAACGGCTCAGGATGGGCGATATCGAAGAGTCGGACGACGAGGAAGAGGAGGAGAGGATTTAGAAAACGTAGGGAAGGGCAGTTTGAAGTGAGGTATGCGAGAAAAACAGATTGATGTCGCGGGAGACACTAAGCCTACTGCGAATTGCTATTGTAATTGTCCGTTTTTGAATTCGTTAAACAATAGGAATTTTGATTTACGGCAGGAACAATTGATTTACTGTAGAATTTGGAAAGTGTCTTTGAAAATTTGGAATTCTAGTGTCGTGCCATTGATTTCGCATCGAAAATGAACCGATGAGTCTCCATGCCAACACACTACTGTGCAGTCACCGTTTTAGTGGAAAGAAAGAGAGTGCGTCTGGGGGTTCCTGTAAAGCATCTACGAAATGTACTGTACTGTAATAAAATCGTCATCACGCGTCCGTTAAAGCGACCAAAAACTGCAGTCCGTTGCTATAGAGGTTGAAGATGACTTCTAGCGCTGCTGTTTAATTGATTGAATAGCGAGCAGAACCCTGACGAGATCTGTGTGCCCCCACTGCCTAGCCGTCGCGAGCGCTCTATCAAACCAAGTGGTAGTGAGGTTTGGGTTTTCTTTGACGTGCTGCCTTATGAGGACTGTCACAATGTGACAGTGGTTACGGGCGATACTGACATCCAACGGCAATGTACCGCACCAGCCGTTGTGGATATTCACACCTTCCATTTTGATGAGTCGATCGAAAATCTGGACATGACCGTAACGCGCAGCGACAAACAGTGGCGGAGGTGCCGATTTGTTAACGTCAATATCTGCCCTGGTAAGAAGTAGTTCGACCATGGCCAAATTGCCACTATCGGTGGCATGATAGAGAGGCGTCCATCCCATATCGTCGGTTTGATTTGGGTCAAGTTCAGCATGCTGAAGCAAGATACGCGTCGTAGAAAGGTCTGCTTCCGTCACTGCATGGTGAAGCGCGCCCGTTTGGTGCAGCCCAGTAGCGTTCACGTCGACACCATCACATGCTAGTAGAAGCCGCTTGACCTGTTTTCCTCGTGCGAGACACAGAGCAGTTGACCCATATATGTCTTGCGCATTGATATTCACCTGAGGTATTCTCAGAAGCAACTTGACCATCGAGATATTTCCTTTCATTGATGCCTGATGAAGCACTGTGCTTTGGTACGTATCTACAGCATTGATATCTGCGCCAGCCTTAATCAGGAGCACGAAGATTTTGTAGTACCCCTGCTCTGTCGCAATTTGGAGGGCAGTGCGGCCAAGAAAGTCAGTCGAGTTCAGCTCAATCCCATCCCAATTGAGAAGCATGGCAATGGAATTAAGGTCGCCAATTTCTGCTGCATAATGCAAAGAAGTCTTCCCAAGGTAATCTTGAACGTTCACATCGGCTCCATAGGAGAGCAATAAGCGGGCGATTTTCCGCTTTCTCTTTCGAACAGCCAAACATAGAAGGGGGATCTTATCATAACCATCAGGTTCAGCGGTTTGTGATGAAAACCCTCTAACATGTTGTCCATGTCGTGCCGTATGGAATAGAAGGAATAGAAGCTGTTTCACCAAGGGTAGATTTCCTTGGTAAATAGCCACACTTAGTGGGCTGAACCCCAGGATGTCTGGGATGTCAATAGTGCTTCTCCCTTTCTTGAGAAGCTGTTGTATGAGGCGACTGTTGTGGGTAGCTATCGCGTACCATAAAGCCGTCCTACCCTTGCCATCTTCTGCTGTAACGGAGATATCAAGGTGTTTGAGTAGTCTGTATGCCATGGAGCTCTTGCGGGAACACAGTGCGTAGAGCAATGGCGTCTGCGAATTTCGGTCCCGGCAATTGACTTTTGTTCGATGGTCGTTGAGAAGGATATCCAATATCACTTCGTCTTGGTTTTCGACGGCGTGGAATATTGCAGTCCGTGAGTTCTGGTCACGAGTGTTAACATCCGCATTGTGATGATCGAGGATCCTCTTCACAACATGGCTTGCCCCGTTTCTGGATCCCCAAATAAGAGCGGAGCTTTTGCAGTGGAGAACGTTGATTTTGTACAGCAAGGGCAGAAATACAGCCTGGAAGTGAGGATTCACACAGGCCAGGTCAAGGATGTGTGTTGGCTGTAAGCTGTTGCAGATCTCCAACAAAAGCTCAGTGGGAAGGTCGAGGAAAGACATTTGACATAAGGATTGATTGCTGAAACAATTCATATGGATTTAGATAGATCACCTCGCAGTTTGTGAATGTCACTTCAAAACAAATCAGTTCACCTGTGGGCAGAAGGTGATGAAAGGGGTGTTATATATACTTTTTCGGGGACATGGTCGAGGCTGGCATCTCAATTATTATCACCCAGTCTGCACTTTCCAAACAGTATAGTCGCCTGACTCAGGATATCGAGCAGGGCAAAAACCTTCACTGGAGAAGATCATCATCCTACCAACCCGACTTAGGAATACTGCTTGCAGAACTGAATGGCGATTTCACTTAGCTCTGGATCCTGGAGAATGGGCTGAAAGTACCCGGGTATTAGAGTATACAAGATCGTCCCCAGGAGCGTATTCCAGCGTTCCCCCGCACAATCTGGCTCCTAGAGTCCAACCCTGATGCTCCCAGGAACAAAAGTCCTACAAGGGAGATTTAAGGGCGAATATTGAGAATTTCACGCTTCTAAGTTTGGAAAGAGAGCCTCCAGAAACGATAACCAATATGCATATCTACGGCAAGCCACGTCTCTATATTTTAGAAGTCCGGCTCCCAGCAGTGTCCCATGTTCACTCGAAGGATGTAACCGGGATCTAGTTGGTAGACGACCTAATCAATTCTAAAGAGATAGGTGCAGCTCACTGCGTTCAACCGGATTGCTAATATGCCGTGATTTGGGCCGCGGACAAAATGTGACTTCTAAATCCACATCGATATACATGTACAAGCTGTCTATGCGTTTGGCTGACTGACGCGCAAAGTAGCAAGCCACGCGAGTGACGTGGGCGTGCGCGGAAAGCTTGGCGGACAGACAACGGTTGAAGGATCCTATGGCATTTGGCGATCGATAAGCGAGGACGTCAACACCATGGCCGACAATTTGACCTCGCAGGTTCGGGGCTTTGGCGAAATCACTGAGGCTGCCGTGAGCGGGGACTTCACCTCATTGATCACGGTGTCGGCGTCTGGTGAGATGGATTAATTGAAACAGGAGATAAACCAGATGATCTCGGGCTTGCGGGACAGCGTTCAACGCAATACTGCGGCCCGCGAGGCTGCGGAGCTGGCAAACCGGAGTAAATCCGAGTTTCTTGCAAACACAAGGTGGGATGAATTGCTACATCGGAGATGTGGACGATTCAAAGCTAATGCATGCATCTAGTCACGAGATTAGAACACCGATAAACGGTAGCATCGGGCTGACGACTCTGCTTTTGGATACCGAAGGGCTCCCAGCAACTGTCCGGGAAACACTGAACATGGTCCATGCGATGCTTGGGGACCGGGAGAAGTGTCTTGCGGCCGGCATGGATGACTACGTGAGCATACCTCTCAATCAAAGTCTGTTGATTGAGACAATCGCGAAATTTTCGGCCACAAAATTCAGCGCATAATCCCGCTTCCAGACTGCAATGACGGTACCTCCACTCCATTCCGAGCCTCGGGCCAGATAGGACAACTAGAAAATGAATAATAGCTAGCTGATTCCCCGGGATAGGTGTCGAGATTATACTGGATAGACATGCAGAGTTGTCAGCCGACGATGTCTGCCAGTGGCTTGCTGTGTATTGGAATTGGACCCTCAAGAGCGGTTGCTCCAGATCTCCGTAATGTATTCCGTACTCCGTACTACGTCAGCAATCTATTTGTTAACTATATCGCTTATCAGTCCACTGAGATGGTGGGTTTTATGATATTCGCGTGAACTTCTTTGAGCTGGAAAGTTAACGAGGAGCCAGAATCGGCAATACGAATGGGCTCGGACACAGCAGTGCAGGTTTCCATAAGTACTGCTGAATGTGCTGAATGCACGGTTATGGTCCTCCAAAATGGAGCTGGAAGAAACATAGGCCAATATTTCCGAGTCCTCGAGCATATCCTTGATATACTCAGGTCAATGGGCAATCCGAAGATGGCCCATCGTTTGGTGGCCTGGTAGCCTTGTGGATTGGATACTAGTATTAGTGCCGTGGTTATACTAATCTATTGTCAAGATTTGCAGAATTGGTATTGACTAGTATGCATTGGAACGAATGAGAACTGCCGGAATCATCCAGAGAAAGATTGATTGATTGAAGGAAGGAGGACTCGAACAAATGGGAAAAGGGGCTGTCCTACATACTGTAGGAACCGGGTATTCAAGTGACCATACCAGTGTTGAGAGGTTACCCGCATCTTACATACAAACACATAGTGTAGTGGGAGAACAGGTGACGATGTAGAGAAGGTGATTGGGTGGGAGTATACTGAGGTGTATTGGAATACGCTGAGGAGTATTGATTGAACGACTAGTCATTTACCAGTCAGCCTCCTTTTCCTATTTTGTACTAGTCTGAGATTCTGTTTCCTGAGGTATTCAGACCTCTCCACGCTCATTACTTCGGAAAAGGGAGGAGGAAAAAGAAGAACACACTGATGAATACACACTCGTTTGATTCTCCTCTGCGGATACCTATCTTTCACTACTCAGTCTCTCAGCACGATTCCTAGGCTTGGTGGCAGATACTCTCATCTCGACCCGTCTGATTGGTCAGACTGCCGTCGGGCGCTTCCCTCTTCAATAGGAAACTTGGGAAGGAAATGGGCCAACCCGAAGTCACTGTAATGAATCTCTCCATTTTTTCATAACATCTATTTTTGGTATACCACATGAAGTAGCGAGGAGACGGACAATTCGTATTTACCAGAGGGCGGCCGTTTCTGGCAACCCCCCGTCTTGGGTTTAGCGCCCGGCCCTTGCGGCCCCGTAGTGGTTCAGCGTCGTCCTGATCAGGCATGGCTTCCCGCGCTATCCCGCAACGGGAACTGCCGCACGTCTCCGCCTTCACGGCCCCCCGTCAACTATATAATCCGGCTGGTGCGTCGCTCGACGACGTCTCCTTCCCACGTCCTACGCTCCTCGTCAATTCGGTCCCCTGAGGTCGGACGCCACCGCTCCGGCCCCTTGCCCTCTCGGAGATGACCGTTCCCAAAAATGAGTGCTCTGCCCCCTTCTATCCCCACTCATGCCGCTGCGAAGGGACGCTGGCGTCCTCCGACATGGTTGACATCGCGAGTGTGAATCGCTGATCTTTCCTGGAGGGTGCGAGATGACCGGTGGCATGGCCTCGCCTGCCTGGATGGCCCGCCCCCGAAATTATTTTCTGGGGCGTTGGCGGTTGCCTACGTCCGCCCCATTCCAACCCTCCAAGGCGTTCCTTCATTCAAAGGTCCGCACAGGGGCCTATGGCTCATTTCCAAGTCGAGGACGATGACGTGTCGACAGGCCTGCGCCCACTCAGCGCAGCGTGAATACCAATGGCAGAATTCCCTCATGTTCTATTCCTGTCCGAAGGCCCACGCAGGTGCCATGTCTCATTTTTGAGACGAAGCGATGACTTGTCAACGTGCGTGCGGTGTCTGCACCTGGTCATCTGCACCTGATCCACGCAGCTTGAACGCCAATGGCAGAAATGCCGCATGTGTTCCAGGGTGTCCTCCGTCCGCTGTAGGCGTTCAAGCGTCCCGCTGAGTTAACTACAAATGACCACATGCGAGAAGGCTGAGGAGCAGGCTGCATGACGACTCCATCGAACTCGCTGCGAAAAGATCCGGTTGGTGGGATGATGACTGGGTTACGCTTGAGACTGTAACCAGGGCGATGATGCTCCTGCACGGGATTGCGCTGGATTGGACCGGAGATTATGGGGACTCTGTGTGGCTGTAAACTGCTGGCCCTGATCACGGGAAGGCCCTAGGGGTTGGTATACAAAACCGGCCAATGAAGGCATCCATATGTCCTCGAAGTCCGACGAGTGCGATCGAATCCCAAACATCCGTTCCGCGAATGTGGGATCATTTTGCATTGCCTCTCATGCGGATGAGACCAGTGCCGGGCATAGAAAGGGGCCATGACGCTAAACAATGCGAACCACGACCTGACTATTCTTTCCCTATGGGTCCAGACCACTACGGATCTCCCGTTCTCGCCCCGTTTAATTATGTTGGTGCTTGCAACCTTTGTGTGGTGATGCCGAGAAGCAGCGGCCCTACTTGGCGTTCGTTCTGAAAAGTGACTTCAGATACCTTATAAGCGCTTCTCACTCCCTGTCCTTTTTCTCTGTCGCAAAACAGTATACTTCATTTTTTTTCCTGAGAATCTCGACACCATGACTATCAGCCTTGATAACATTAGCTTCTACTCTCACCCCCCTCCTGCAAAGCCTCCTCCATGTACCTTCCCTGTTTCCTGCTGGAAGCCATATGAGACTCCTCTTGCCTCACGAGCTATTTCGTGTGCACTTCCACCCAGGGCGCCTTCCCCTAGGACGACGATTACCCTAGCTTCTGATCCTAGGCCAGATGTGTCCCCGCGATCTAGGGCTCCTGCGAGAGAAGACCATGATTTGCGTGCCGTTTGCAATGAATTTGACATCGAATTAGAGAGGATCGTTAGGGCGCAAAACTGCCAGGTCACGCGAGAGGCTGATCTGACCTTGCATCGCGACTTGGGGCTCCCAAACGGAAATGATACCGATGGGCCTCAAGACCAGTGCACTTCTTCGGTTCCAGGTATGTCGGACTGCTTATGGAGTGTCGATCAGAGGACTCACTAATGTTAACCTACCAGAGCATCCAGACCAGTGCCCTTTCGTAGAGGCTGTTAGTGACTCAGACCCGGTTTCCATACCAGCAAAACCAGATTTGCATCAGTTTGGTAGGCACGACTGTCACCTTTTTGTTTAGCTTATTCCCTAACACACAATAGGTCCGCCCTTTGACCCAACCGAAAAGCTTGAATTACATCGAGACAGTACTCCATTATTAGGAACTTGCTACGAGACCAACAAGGATTCTGCTTCACCCGAAGTCAGCTTTCCTTATACGCGTGCATCACCTTCACCCTCGCCGGATACACTGCGAAGCGTACAGCATCTTCAAGCTAGGCCTGTCGCTGGAGTCATCATGGGACACGAATCAGCCGTGGATGACACCAAGGCTTGACCAGAATGTTCCGGAGACCGGGCTGAAGGCCGGGGGGATAGCAAGACCACAGTGCAAAGTGTGCGGACTTGTAGCCCCTCGGTCAAAGAGGCTGGTCTGGGGAATGATGAAAGAGGCAGACCCACCGAGGAGAGTCAAGCGACTGCACTCTCCCGGTTCGGACCGCGAATTCTTCCGCTCGAGCAATCGAAAAGCCCTTTAACTCACACCCGTTCCCTTCGTCCGCAGCCAAGTACAGACGCGGCCTGGTCAGAGCGATTGCCTACCGTTTCAGTACTCATCCCGGCCCGTCGAACCGATGACTTAGTGGCAAGAACCAAGACGAGTCCTCCAACTAGAGCACGACGTTACAGTCGTCGGGGCGGCGGCGACAGCAGCAATCTTAACCATGATCGGGCAACACGTGCGCTGACAAGGGAAGATTCACCATTTTCAGGTGGATCCAATTCCAAGACAAGAGGACGCCCACGGAAGAGAGCAAAGAGGGCAATAGAAAACACAGCCTCGACCAATGACCAATCCCCAAACCCTTCAGTGGGTGGTTTAGACGTCACCCTGGGTAAAACACAAGAGATCTTCGGACGCGGGATTCTTCGTATTCAAGCTCACGGTCCTCGGCATGTCTATTTCATGTCGTTCCTTCCAGAGGAGCATCACCAGCCGTCTATGCCATCTACCTTTGAAGACCAGGAGAAGCATTCCCGCTCTCGGGATTCAGGCGTGTCTACACATTGTGAAAACCAAATTGGCAACCAGCATACAGAGCAACCCTCCCGGAAAGGGTCCCGCCCTGTGAAATCAACCGTGCGAGCCCAAGCCCTGTCTAAAGATGACCGGCTTTTGATTGAATTGAAGGAAGAGCGGAGCTTGCCGTGGAAGCGGATCGCAGAGTATTTCCCTGGAAGATCTGTAGGTTCCCTACAGGTGCGTTATTGTACACGCCTCAAGGGCAGCAAGGCTGGAAATTCTGGGCGGCCTGGGCGCAATTCCAACGTGACAAGCGGATCCTCGTACAGAGGCACATCCTGCGAGGCAGTTCAAGCCGCGGATGGTAGGCGTAAAAACACCCAAGGTGTGGCAAGACAGCGATATGGTCCACCTCGGTGCAGGCAAATCGTGGACCGCTATTCCCCAGTTTGATTGAGCATAGTTAGTTATTGTTATGTGTTAATATCGTCTAAAACAGAGGCTAGTCCACGAGTGTCCAGCACCTTTAGCATGTTGGGTCGAGTTGAACGTTATACCACGTTTCAAATCAGCATCCATCAAACAGGCGCCAGGGCCCGGCACACCATAGGTGACGTTGCAGGGCGTCGAGTAGCGAACCATCCCAGCAAAAACTCCAAGAAAATCTCCTTCCTGGACTGAAATGATGGGGCATACAGAAAAGAAGTCCTTGTCTTTGGGTAGTATGGTGACAAATATAGACTTGTCCCTCATCGCGTCCGCCCCTGAATGTAAGTCAAGGAACTCACCAAACTGGACGAAAGATGGCTCATATGGCCCACTCGATTGGAAAGCGGCTGCTTCCTCGTCGGAAAGCCACTGGTTACTCGCACTGTTCCATGCAACATCTGAGATCTTCAATCTCTCGGCCACATCGGGCTGAGCTAGCCACATTCTTCGCGTGAAGTCACCCATACTCTCTTGAGTTACTCGGCTTTCTAGCTGTTTGATCTGCAAGCTCAAAAAGAACAGAATTTTCTTTGTTGGGAGATTACGAGACAATCTGCACAAAATCCTCCAGAAGAGCAAGCGATTACTACAGGCATAGGTGTAGGGGAGCCTAAGTCTCCAGTAAAAGCGGTTACCGTAGTGAAGGATATGGAAAATGCGACCATTCTTTGGTGAAGACCAAGAAGCAGAATGTCGTACTGTACGCTTATAGCTTTGTCGGAAACCAAACGGACCCGTATGTCCACAAATAACCCAAACCATCTCATTTCGCAATAATCTCTCAAACCCAATGAGATGAGAGGAATGGTCCGCGGCTAATGATAGGACGTCACTTGGCTGGGTGGCCTCTTCCAAGGAACAAGCCGTAATCAGTGGTCTTGACAAACATGAAGCACTTTCGCCGTCAGGGGTTCGGCGTCAAATGGCACAGGGTGTATTACAAGCCCCAGATTATGACATGCCCCTACATGGTCGAGAGGAGTCGCTAGGCCTCATAATAAGACAGAAATGGTCACGGACTGGAAGAGCGAAAACTCTCCGTAGCAACATAGGTTGCCATATTGGAAGGTCCACTGTAAAAGTACCCTGATGTCACTTGCTCTACATATGTACATGCTGCTATGCGGGAGTGTTATCAGGCCAGCCTGCAGCGAGAAATGGCTGCCAGCGCCCATCGTTGGATGCGGCTTGATGTCAAGGGATCTGATCACATGACACCGAGGATAAAACAAAACCGAAGTGGTCCCATCACCCCGGATTTCTGTCTCCTTTAACTCTCTTGATCCGACAAGCTTTCATCACCCCACCCCGCATATCGCTTCAGCCACTCTCTCAGTCGCATCAGCCGCTCAGGAATCCGTTGGATGTCAAGGGGGTGTGATCAACACCTTATTTTAATTTCTACTTGAACATAATTGGCAGCTAATCAGTTGTCTTGTCTTTCTCATCGTCATGGGAGCTTGGTATATACCTCGCTGCCTTCTGCCAGACTTTACATGGCAGGAAAAAAACGTTCGGTCGATCGCGAACCAAATACCACCCACGCCTCGGCCGACACACCCGTTGCTGTGTCGATTCTGGGGCATTTTGCATAAATATATGCGACGATTCTCTCGATCTTATTGCAGCTGGGTTGGGATCGATTACGACAACCAAATTGCTCAGCTTCCGTTTGGGCTGATTCTGAAATGGTCTGATGGCACGAGGCTGGAAGAAGTGTTGGCTATGCAGGTCGCTAGGGCAGCTGGTTTCCCGGTTCCAAAAGTGATTTGCTATGGAGACCATCCAGACACTCCACACGCTCCCGTCTCGATATTGATGACTCGCTTACCTGGCAAAGAATTGGGCCAAGTGTATGAAACCCTGAGCAGCGAAGACAAAAAGTCAGTCTCAAGAGAGCTCAAAAACTACTTGGAGACAATGCGTGGATGGACAAACCCGTGGGGTGGAAAGAGAATATGCTCTTTGTTGGGTACCCCAATTAGGAGCGTTCGCGTTCCTAACCACTTTGCTGGCCCATTTGAGTCCGAGGAAGAATTCAACGAATATCTTATCCGACCATCTTGGTCTGGTGGTTTCTCGTCCGAATCAGCATACAATGATGCACTCAGTCTTGCCAAAGGTATGGGCAAGATGTCACATCGTACTGTTTTTACCCACGGCGATCTCAAACCACATAATATCCTTGTCCAGGGGAGCCGGATCACAGGATTTCTGGACTGGGAATCGGCAGGTTGGTACCCTGACTATTGGGATTTCACCACTGCATTGAGATTCACACGGGAGGAATTTTGGTGGTACAGCTTCGTGATTGGCCTTGGTGGTGGCGCGTATTCAGCGGAGTTGGAATGTGAACGCGCATTGACTTCTCTAACAAGTGCTTCGTATTACTGGTGATTTTCCGCCGGGCTCTTGGCTTAATTTTAGTCCCATGTTTCCTCTTTCGTACTATTTGTTTTGCACGAATACTTGCGCAACTCACTACTATCATTCTTATTGCTGAAGAGATGTAGATGTCTTTGCTACCTGAAATTGTAAATCTATTAAAACCTACTGGAGACAATCCTTTCTTTCGTGAGGCAAGTAATCGTTAAACTGGGTCGGCGGTACCATACGCGTGGTAGGGCATTAGAAATAATATGGTCAACTACCAAGGCGGTCAAGCCACTGAATGCAGCTCGATCCTCTGGCCGAAAAATGGCGCATATTAAAGGGCAATTTTCGGCTAGGAATAGTCGTGAATCATACCCTTTGGTTCGTATATAAGTAGTCTGAATCAATCTTGCGGGCGCCAAAGGACTGGGCCTGTTTCATGGCCCAAGCCACAAGTTTACTTAGCCGCCTTTCGAGCATGGACACGGTTACCAAGCACTGTACTCATTATTAAACCCAGTGTCTGACTATAGCGCCCTCCATTGAAGCGCGCGCGAAAAATGCTAAGCTCAAGGACCTATCATGCCTCTTTTGCCTACGCATTGAGGCCATAAATAGAACCAACTTGATATTAATAGCGTCCTACCAGAGATTGACGAGGCCAGAGGAAGCAATCAAGAGGGTATAAAGTGAAGCTACCACGACTTTGAATCTGCCAATGTACAAGCAGCAGCCGCTCTATATCCACCGACTTTAACATTTTATCGATTTTCTGGTTTATCAGTATCCAATTTCTTCCAGCCATGTCTCTTGCAAATCTCAAAGTGAATGGGCTCTACATCATCTTATTCATCAGAAATCATCCCCCAGTCCAGAATGATTTCCACTGGGGTCTCTACTTTCATCGTCATCCCGATACTGGTGGCACAAAATATCACATCAAGCAACAAGGTAGTGGCTGGATCCCCGACCATGGGCCTACTGCGGGGGTGTTCAAGTCCTTCCTTCTCGTTGGGCTTTTCAGAATCGCTCATGTCCCAAGTGGATGGGAAGGCCTTTTGGATCAGACCATTAGGACATACGATGGCCAGCTGAACGCTCCGGGAATCACCTGCCGAGTCTGGGTCTTATGGGTGTTGGCTCTTCTGCAAAAGTCCATCAATGGGCAGACAATTCTGAAATGCAGTAACTTAAACGCACTGGAGATCGAAGTTAAGAACTGGGGAAATGCAAATGCCAGGGGTGCTGCAGACAATATCCAACCAAGGCCAGTCGCAACCTCGGCTCTGTGCGGACTCTAAGAGACTTTTCAAAGTAAGTCCAGTGTTGTACTGTCTTTATTTGAATGACTCATAGCTTATTCTAAGTATTTCAGCAGGCTTCGTTTTGTATTGAAGAAGTCAGAGGATCCGAAACTGAAACGGCATGGCAAATGTTGCGGTAACTTGGGTCCTAGAACCCTTTTCTTGATTGAGTGATGTACTTGACAGCAGAATAAAGTACGATTTCCAATTTGTGCCAGTGAAATTCCTTCTAGGTTATCATTTTCTTCATGAGCCTACTTCATTCGAGAAAGAATGGTAATAATCAAGAGACAGCGAGACTGTTTGAAGGAAATGCAAGCAAGTAGCGGCGCCTATATAGATAGTCGTAACCCTCATTGGAGGTCAAAGAGTAATTGTGTTGCCAGTTTCTCTGGAAATACTCGGTGGTGTGAAGGCCCAGATAAAGTGCAATGAACGGCTCCGCGTATGCATGAGAGGTATCTGGAAGCGCACTTGGTCGAGAAGGCGACGCTGTTGGCTCATGCTGATGACGCCCAATGAAGATCGCCGTGGCCCTCTTTTCGGCAACCGCGCTGCCAGACCATAATTATGTATATGTGCACAGTCTTGGGTTTACTACCTAATATAGTCATGGCCAGTTTTGGTGCTATTTCCAAACTTGGTGATTGACCACCTTTTGAGAATTTTCCTGTTCTGTACTCTGTGCTCAGCCTGCATGCATGAGACTTTGTGTCATGATCCCCGTCATTGGTCATGGCTTTTGGGGGCTGTGCCAGGGAGGGTGGAGAGAAGCGACCAAACTGGCCAATCTCAGGATATCGGGCCCGGCACAGGCACAAAGTCGTCAATGTGGCTTTCCACGAGCCAACCAATGCAGACTCTCTCCTCTTTCTGGCAAAAACGTTCTCTCGGGCACGGGTGTGAAGGGCAAGGAGTTTGAGGAGGAGAAATGGTATTCATACATCATCCACAATAAGACAGCAACCATTCCAAACTCAGCTTTTGGACCATCTTATTCTTTGCTATTTCCAGGGGGCTCGAGGCATGATCTACCATCTGTCAGTTAGCATTGTAAATATCCAAATCAGGGGGGGGTGGTGGCATGTTTGGAATAATCAAAAGCATACCAACTTAACAGTGACAGGGTATATCTTCCTGTCTTCCCGGAAATAGTTTTAAGGTATTCTCTTGGTTCCGCCATAACCGTTGCATTTGGGGCATATAGATGTGCCAACCATTCCCACATCATTGCATTCAGAGCAAGGCATGTTTTCTTTTCGACGTGTTGGTTCAAGAGCAGAGGGACAAGAGGGCGATTTCTTGTATGGGGAAAGCGAGAACGAGGGGGTGTTGTAGTTTTCGGAAAATGGTCACGTCAAAGAAAGGAAGAGGATATTTATAGTTACCGCCAGTTCCGATACCCAAACTCGTTGGGTGGCAAACCCCCGACCGTGGCAAGGGCTCCAAATGACCCCGCCCAACTAGGCTTGTACTGTGTACACATTTCGACTTCCCACATACCTGTCGCGATGCCCAATCCTCCTCGTTTTGTTAGAGTCGATCCAAGCCAGAGAAAGAAGCAAAAGGTGGAACAACCACAATGCCAGACTTGTTTCAATTCATTCGGAACACAACAAGAACTCCGCGACCATATCGCAGACTATCAGGCCAGTACAGTCGGGACTCTCTCGAATTTATCCACTGACCGCCAGTATAGTTGGAATTCCAGCTCTTGACCGCACGGTTACTTGAAGTCCAAGCACACTTGCCTCGAAAACACCAAAATCCTGAAATAGACGGTCTACAGGCGGATAATATCATAGCGGATTGCATTACCCGTGACTGGGACACCGAGCAGGAAAATGACGACAGCAGTAACCTCGCAGACAATGGATACGACATCGATGACAGTGATGATGGCAATTTGAGAGACCAAGATGACGATCTCACCTCAACAAAATGCCCTCACTCAAGATGCCGTCACAAAGGGCGCTTCCTGAACCGAGCGGGCCTTGAGCGCCATTTCGAGTCACGTACGCGACTTTGACGGATGCACCAGATTCTGATGCTAATCGTACATTCCAGATGTTCAATGCCACGAAATATGCATCTACTGTCGCCAGTTATTTCAGCAAACACGACAATACATACGACACACGTGCCTCACGAGGCAAAAGGCCAACGACGACGAGAGAGACTTCTACAGAAAAGAGCGGTGTACTCAACTCAAGAGAATATCTGCCGATAAACTAAACTGGATGCTTGCAAGTGAAAAGCACCAAAGTAGAAGGCTCGGTAAAAGAGGCACTGAATGCTGTGATGAACCCCCAACCAGCCCTCGCAAACTGCGGAAGGGAAATGCGATGCTTGAGATACAGAACATTGTGGACAGTGAAGGGTTTGATGGTATTTAACCTCTGTTTTCTACTGAATATATGTTAACACTATCAACAGGTCGTCTCAATGCAGAAAATGCCATGCAAGTACCGTTCATCGCGCCACGTAACCTAAACCCAATCCCATATCCATCAACTTTATCCAACGCTACCTTCCTATCCAAAACCCCCTCCGTCGAGCATATGCAACGATCCTACGATGCCTTCTTACCCCAGCCGTACGCGCCAATATTTGATGATATCACCATCACACCCTGCTATGATTTGGTACAAGAGTCATATGCATTTTCATCAACGCTGCAGAATGCGACTTATCTAACACAGTCCCATGAGGATCAGAGCGCTTTGCCAACTTCTGAGGCAAGAATGAGCTAATCAGGATCACGTTTGCCATGGAAGTACGTAACGTTCATGCCAAAATTGGGTCCTTCCATGTTGCTGACTACTCTTTGGAGGGACTTAGGAAGCTTCATCGGAGCCCACCACTTTTTCAACACATCTTCTGAGGCGACTCCAAATGTGATAGCACTTCCTTCCGATACTTCGACAAAAAGGCGGGTATCACGGATAGAACTATTTAAGAAGATCAGATATATGACGACGAGATAACTCAAAATTCCACTTACAACCCCCCATTCTCAAATATGACGTGAACAGGCTCAAGGCCGAGCCTTGTGAGTGCCACACGAGGGGCTCTCCACAAATTATTTTCTCCCTTCATGGTAGTGACCTGCTCAAGGTGTGAACCTTTCCAAAATGTAACTTTCGAACCCCTTTTCCAGAATTGTATCAGGAGAGACTCCGTCTTTGAGGATAGATCGCTCTGTCGAAAGGCATAGTCACCGGGCATGGCACCGAAAGTTCGATAAAGCCCCAGTCCGAACCACTGGAAGCAAGAATCAAGGACCTGTCGCTTGCGCTTTCACAAAATCAGCCTTCTTATCAAGGAGAATCCGCGGAATGGGAAATACCGGGTCGTCAAGGACATTGGTTTTGTAGAACTGTAACCCTGCCTCTGATGCGAAAGGTATGCAGTTTACTTCCATCTCTTCGATTTGTTGCCCTGTCTCTGTATCTTTCTCGAATATGTATCCATCTTTGATGAATGTATCCTTGCAAGTTATATTTGACGTCGAATCGATTGCAGCCATCGACATGGAATGCGACCCGCTGTGTTTGACTAAGAAGTTCTTTCGAGAGAGGGGTTCCAGTTCAAGAGCGGGGGCCGGGAAATATAACTTCCGTTCCGAAAGCAAGAGTTACTGGAGGGTAATCACATGACCCAGACCTAACGCTTTCACACCATTCCTTATTTGGAGTAAACACGAATTTGTGGACTTCCCTTATTACGCGAAAGCACAGATCTGGTAATTGTAACTGAGTTACCTAGTTAGTCATTGACCACGATTCTGTGTTTACCCTTACACTATGTTGTGATGTGTACTCAATTAGTGTTAGACCTGCATCAAACTTTCGCATTTTACGCAAGTCTTTGCGCGGGATGTGTTTTCATCTGCATCTACAGAGTACTAGGGGTAATGATCTCGGACGTTTGCTCCTACAGTCCAATCATACATCCAAGTTCAGACAGGCTGCTCTCAGGTCAGCATGCGATCTTCGTGCAATCCTTATGCAGACACATCTAGCCCCTGGATGAGAGGGGAGCTTGGATTTGCGCTGCCAGTTCATGTGCATTGCTGCATGCATATTTTGTCCAGAACAGAGGGCGAGACACAGCCATGAATAACCAGGGTTACGAACATATAAGAAGAAGCGATTCCTCGTCTCATCGACCTTTCTGTTTATCATTGGCATTCCAGTCTCTTGGGCCAGTTCATACCAGCTTCCCATATTGCACCGATATTGCTCAGTCGTTCAAATTGCACAACATGGCACTGAAGACTTCCTCCTGCCAGCAAGGCTTGACGCCACCCGATAGCCCAACAAAGGAGTCGACTATGCCTCCTGCCACCTTGAACTATCTGAAGCATATCTTTGGTGTGTTTCTTGAGAAGGCGCTACTCGATCTTACCAACCAAGAGCCTCCAAATACGCCCCTCTCCCAGGACCGGTCCCCAGCAGGCCCCGACATGGTTCGACTGAAGCAGTTGCTGGTGAAACTCACCCGCGACGAACGTGCTTCAGTCGGACCCTTCGTGACAACTAATCTTGCTCAGTATGATCTTGCCAACAATGAACAGGAAGAGGTTGTTCAGGTGGCAGATGAAGCTGATCTCAGTCGTCCAATCTGTACTACTCCAGATGATTTCAAATCGTTTGAGAAGTGGGCATCGACATCCCAATTCAAAACAGTTGTTGAAACGTATGAGCAAGCGATCAGACCCTTCCTTGTTCGGCAGTTGCTGACACAGGTACAGTTGGGACAAAGAGGCATGTAAATACAAGATAGCCGAGCCGACGGAGACCGGCACCGATCTAGACGACTACGCTGAATATGCATTCATCGTCCGTGAACGTGTTGGTACATAATGTCTTCGCGCAGGGGACCGAACCAAGACTAATCGCATGATTAGATCGGAACTCCGACGAGGTGACGTCCTACATAGACATCAAATCGGAAGGCTTACGTGACATCCTGCGTGTGGTGTTACACGACATCAAAGCTATTAGCTTGCTGGAGGACAAGCCATCGGTAATTAAGACTAAGTAGAGTCTCGAAGGGAACGCTAACGTGGGTCTAGATCGAGCAAAATGTCCTTTTCCATTTCCTCCCAGAGCTCGACAGATGTTTAGACAACAGTTCGGACCATGACCCGGCACATGCGGAGTATCTCCGCCTCCTCATCGACCACCTTACGTACGCATACGCTTCTATCTCGCAGCGTCTCGAATCAATGTTGCAGCACGGTCATATTACTTATGACCTTCTTTGGGCGCTTTTCAAGCCTGGTTGCCATGTTTATACTACATGCATTGGCACAAAAGAGCCGCGATGTGTCGTATTCGATGCGGGGGAAGAAATAACCCAGAATGACGAGACGTGGTTTAATCTCGAATGCCGATTTCTTGATTATGACGGAGTCAAGTTCGGTGAGGCCGGAATCTTTCTGCGTGTGCCAAAGTTCCGAGGGTCAAAGCCGATCGCGACTCTTGAAGCTTACCCTCTCTGCCACCATCCGAGTCACGAGCAGGTCCGAAATGACCTAGTTGATAGAGGTCAAAAATTTCGGGATTTAGCTGGCTCGCACATTCAGCACTGTAAAGGCAGTGCATTCTATGTGAACAAGGGGAAGATTTTCAAAATCAACATCAACAGCCGAGTGGCAGTGGACGCCGCATTTTTCCATGAGATGCAGCCAAACTACTCCCGACCGTCACTCCGCGATTTAGGAGTAAGAGACAAGAATGGCATTGCAGTTATTGATATAGGGGCAATGCTCATGGAGGACCGCGAACGAGAGAAGGAGAGAATGCGAGGGGACGGTGTGGATGCACAGAAGCTGAGCGAGGCCGATTTGTTAATCGCCTGTCCAACAGTTTGTTGTTTCAGCTTCAAGGAGAAAATGTTCTGTACGTGACACGATTGATAATGGGTTGAGAACCTGCTGATGGGATTCCAGTGGAGTGCGCAGTTAGTGCTCTTAGGGACGTGAACTGGTTACCTGAATCATTTGACTGCCTGCAAATTCCGCCAGAGAACAAGGCACTCCTCTTGTCAATGGCAAAAACCCGCTTGGGTCTGATACAGACAGTACCCTTTGACGACGTAATTGATGGGAAAGGCCAAGGAGTCAACATTCTTCTGGAGTATGTCGGCAAATTGTTCATGTCCTATATCGAAGCTTCCATCCTAACCCGTGTTAGTGGCCCACCCGGCGTCGGAAAGACGTTCACAGTTGAAGCAACCTCGGAATATTTCCAGCTGCCTCTCTATTCGGTACGAGCCAGTCGTGGCGCAGATTGTGGCCTCACTAATTTTCTCAGATATCTGCAGGCGAGCTCGTTGTCGACCACGGAGATTCCAATGCGCTTGAGCAACAACTTGAAATTGTATTCAAGATCGCTAAACACTTCAAAGCTGTGCTCCTTTTGGATGAGGCAGATGCGTTCATGGAGCAGCGCACGTCGTACCACGATGCTCACAACCGCCTGGTGACCGTGTTTCTCCGAAAGCTGGAATATTACCAGGGAATCTTATTCTTGACTTCGAATCGGGGTATTCAGTTCGACGACGCAATCCTTAGTCGGATTCATTTAATCGTCAAGTATAAAGACTTGAGCAGGGAATTTCGCAGGGGTCTCTGGTCAACTTTTCTGAAGAGGGCACGTACAGTCCAAGGACCTGCTATAATCGAGAAGCACGACCTCCGACGATTGGAGTCTTTAGAGCTCAATGGACGAGAGGTGGGCTCCAGAGCGCAGCTGTGTACTTCTCGCTTGCTGACTAACATGGACTAGATCAAAAACATCGCAGCAATTGCACATGCTCTCGCCGAGGCGAATGCCAGCCAAGTGAGCTATAAATACCTGGAGTTAGCCGCGGAATCGAATCAGAAATTTTCGAAGGAGTTCGGCAGACAGGGGCCTGCTGATGGAATGTATGTCTGACAGCATACCTGGGAAAGTCATGTGGATCATCTCGTTCATCAAGGTTGTCGAGCGGGCGGTGGGCGTTTATCGCAATATTTTCGGTTCGTACACGACAGTTCATAATATCGGCCCTGAAGCTTCATAGTTGAATCAATGTTTTCATATCATTCATGGCATCACGTAAAGTCGAGTCCAAAAGCCAGAATTGGATGATCAATCCGTCATTGTCCACACCTATAGAATCGTATATCACCTGAGGCTAGTAGATGTAGCGAAGAAGCGGGCACCAAGAATGATAATAGATTGAAACCCTGACTAATTCATGCGGATACGGGCCAGGAATGCTTCATGCTTCATTATCATGCATAATTGAATTGCTAATCCAATAAATGAGCACCCGTCTTCACTTCACGCGAAGACGTTTTGCATCAACTATCTCTGGTTGACGTAGTCGTCGTTTTGAGGCTCGCGGCCGCTGCAAAGTCGGTTGACATTTCAATGTGGAGCGGTGAAAGTCGATGATCATCGCCCGCCCAAGCTCTTCATTCCAAAGAACATTGTCACGCCGAAGGTCTTCGTGAATGATTCCCAAAGCTCTGATTTCCTTGTTCGATTGGCGAATCCTCCGCAGAAGCTTAGGCGTCAGCTCCATCGATGCCGTACTTTCTCCCCCCCAAGCCATCACGAGCATATGACGAATCTCGCCAGCCCCGTGAAGGAAATAAATTTTCGCCAAGTCGATCGTACCCAGGAAAACAGGTACAGCGGACCCTTGCGCCTTTTGCAGAATTCGGTATACCTCCGCTTCGCGAGAGACTTCTTTCCACAGCGCCGACGTAGTTCCTTTTCCAATGACGGTGTAGCCATATACAACACAAGTAAGTTTGAAGGGCGCACCGTACGCCCCGCAACCTCCAAGGGGTGTACATCGGTCAATGTTTTCATCCAATTGTGCCTTTAGTAAACGCACTAAATCCTCCGAGGTAATCAGATGATGAAGGTTATCTTTGCTTCGACGATGGAGCATCACATTTGGACAACAGTCATCTAGAAGGCCGCCAGACTGCAACCCGAGTAAACATCGCTGGGTGCAAAATTGCGCATCGCGGTGTCGGGACTGGTTGTCCGGGCCTTTATTATTATTTGTGTCCCTTTGTCGGCCCACGTGTTGGGTAGATGGAGAAGACAGAACTTGGCTGAAGGCTCGTTTGCGGCCTGTTGCTGGGTTCAAATCAGGCCCTGGTGATCGTGGCGACCGTGAGCGATGTCTCACATCGGATGGGGGCACAGCTAACTCGAGATCTAGTAGAGACCCGACGAGTTATTGATTCGGGGGGATCTGGCGGAGATGATGACGGTTCGTAAGGCGAACCGGTATCTGGGCTTGGAAATTCTGGAGCGGTGCTATCGGAGGTGAGAGGGTGCTGGAGTTCGTCGTTGGGAATGTGAGAGCGAGTGTGATCAAAACCGGTCGTCCAAATAGGAATACCTGGTCGTGCGGAATTCCTCCACTCCTGACCGCGCACAGGCGAGCGAAAAGCCATCAGACACAGACATAGCGTTCTTGCAACAGAGGTATTTTCGAAGGAAGCTTCGATCTCTGGATTCACCTCGCTGTTAGGATCACAAAAGAAGTAGTAAAGCGTGGCAGGGTCGTCATGCGAAACACGGAGGAGGACCCGAGCAATCCCGTTGGTCACGTAGGAGTATTGAAGCCCTTCTTGTATCATCACATGATACTCTTGGACAATGGCAGAGCAGACAAGGCGCTCTGTACTATACCTCAACTTTGCGTCCTCGTCCGTGGGTATTTTATTCAACTTGACCATCTCCTTCCACAAGTCCATTGGTCGAAGCCCTGTCCGAAGGGTTGCCACGGGAAGCTTGTGCGGTGGCTTATACTCGACGGTTGTGAGGAGAGTGGTGGTGCGCCCATCGACACGGTGGATACAGAATTGATCAGGCCTTGGATGGTGTACACTTGATGGTTGGCTTGCATCTGCTTCAATAGCACCGTAATTGTTCAAGGAATTTGTATGATTGCTGAACTGAATGCCATCGCCTAGGCCAAACTCTTCACGAGCAGCGGGTATCTTGCACAATTCTGTTATTATATCATTGATGTGCTCTTCCACAGCGAACCGCTCATAAGCCTCGAGTTCTTGCTCGCTGCTGATGGGATTGCGATTCAGGCGCCGGCCTAACCCTTCTAGCTCATGTAAAGATGTAAACAGACGCGGCACCTCTCCTGGCGTCGGTTGGAGATACCTCTGAACGGACCTGTAAAGGTCTGACAGTTGCACTGGGCACTCGGCCCAACGTTCCAGCCGTATCGGGCAGTATTTTTTCGTGGGCAGAGGTATTTTTCCGCTGGTCGAGCGAGATGGTGTCTCGACTCTCAGCGGTCGGGAGAGCGAGGTGTGAGAAAGGCGCATTAATTCCATGAAAGTAGTCGGTCGGGTTCGCTCCTTCTCTCGACCTCCTTCGTCTTCTGCCTGCTTTCGCCTCTCTTTCTCTCGTCTTCCTTCATCTTCTGCCTGCTTCCTTCTCTCTTCTTCCTGCTTGCGTCTCTCTTTCTCTCGTCTTCCTTCATCTTCTGCCTGCCTGCGCCTCTCTTCTTCCTGCTTGCGCCTCTCTTCTGCCTGCAGAAAGAGAGCCTTGTAATCAGGCGAGTTGTCGGCCATCGATCTGTCAGAGAGGGAAATAGCTTGGGACAAACGCGACAGGTCTCGATTGGTGGGTACCTTATCAAGGAGGCTGATGTCGGCTGATCGCGGCTTCCGGCAGATGTATTTTCCGAGAAATGACGCAAGGTTTCCGCTGGTTTATTTTAGCATCTCCAAATATGACATATTATCCCCTTCGTCAACAAAGACGACGAAGTACTCACTAAAATAGGATTTCCTCACGCTTCAAAGGGATATGCGCTGGCGGTAAAGTCGCTTCACCGAGTGGTCGGTCGCCTCGCACTGAGTCGTGAGGGTCGCAGCCGTCTCAGCTCGGATCGCTTGAGACAGATATATCGCAGCGATCGAAATGCCAAACAGTGTGTTGGGCCGGAGTCGCCGTTCCGCCTCTGTTGTTCTTCAAGCTGATATCACAATTCGGCGATTGTTTGCTCCATCCCTTGTTGAAATAAGTTTCAGTAGATAGTAGGATGATGCAAATTGAAGTCAATACAGTAGGGGGCTGGCTTGCTGGCGTGGGGAATGGACTGTCACGGAGGGGATCCAGCTTCCTCCTTGACTCCAGAGTGGATTGGTGCCTCTGACATAGCCAATCTTTGGCCACGATTGATTTTAATCACCGCTTCCAAGACATACACCGATTCGATGGTACGTAATGTGCCTTGTCAGTACATAGATAAGTTCTGTCCATCTTCAAAATCCTTTGCAAGTCCAGTCACCGTAGCGAGATCACTATCTCGATTGCATCTCTCGCGACGTCCGCATTCCGTCCCCCTATAGCAGCCCGTTACTTCGAAGGATAATTATGTTGTGTCATTTCGCTGTGAGGAAGGTACACAATAAAGGTAGAAGTCAGCGAAGTTCTTTTGAAATAGAGAGAATACGCTTACCTCTATCGGTATCCGTCTGACGAAACATGCTTCGGCTTGCCCTAGTCTTTGCGGTTAGATATCACGTAATTATTCCGAGGGACGTCGCGGAAAAATAAAATGACGTACCTGACCTATCCGGGTAGTCAGGTCCCTTTTAAGGAATAGGATCTGTGCATGAGGCAAACTGAAGTGCCGTCGTTCACAGAACCCATGGCCAGAGGGGTGAACGTAGATCTCTGACACGGTATTTATATATGCGAAGCATTCTTGATCATGGTATTCTTTGACTGTATCATCCTCAGTTTTGAACGGGTTAATGGAAAATTGGACGGGTACTGTAGAGTGGAGCAACCCCGCAGAGAAACCAAGGAGGCCGAGGAGATATTTCACTCGCACCTAAAACATTACCCTCAATTAAAGCTGGTGATGGATTATACCCACTGCTTTGCATGCCTCATATTTTAATATTTTTGCCCATATTCTTCAGATGCTCATGAAAACGTTCCTTTATTCAGCAACAACTAAAACACTAATTAAATGTACACGAAATACCTTATGCTTACCCACTATTTACACCGCACTTTTTTGGAATTGTAAAATTTCAGCACAGGTACACAGTTTTCTGGACGGAGGTATATGTTTTCTGGAAGATCAACCCATCTTCCTCATCTTTCCCACGATCTGTTGACCTCAAAATAAATTTGAGTTAACTAGCGTCAATTATAGGCCTGGTAATTTCCCCAATCCATTGACTATTGTTCCACCGTTGGTTATCGGTATCTTAGCTATAACGGATCCCGTGCCGCATCTTCCGACTTCAACGCTTAGCTTCGCCGAGCCAGTTGTATGCCGAACCAGTAGTGTTCGAGTGGGCTTGTGCTAGCAGCGATGTGCTCCCCAAACATGGAGAAAAGGTAAAAAAACCAGCTAATTCAAGATATTGTGTAACACGCCCGCTGGTCAAACATTCTTGGGTAGGCCGACCTGCCTCTTCAAGAACTCAAGTTGCGCTGTAATGTTCTTTTCAGTCACATCTTGCTTGAATGCCTGCTGCTCCAAGACGAGCGCAACTGGATGAGAAACGCTCTGTCAGAGCGTGGAGTCGCTCTTCGACTCGATGAGCTCCTAACGCGGCCAGAGGCCCGCGCGATTGTGGCCGAATTCATGATACGGACAAATCTCTTGGATCAGTTCCAAGCAGTCGACCCAATGGCTCTCGGGGTCGAAAAAGGCGACGGAAAAGAATGACCCCTCAGGACAGTGTGACGGAAGGAGAAGGATGGCGCCCGTGAGGAGTGCAGTGCCAGGTCCACTGTACTCCCTTGATACAAGCGAGCACAAGAGTGGCAGCCGACAGCCAGGATGGCTGTGTAGAAAGAAGAGTGTGGGGAAGGAGATGTGTGTGTAGTGAAGTTCGCCTAGGTTGTTAGCGGGGCGTGGGTGACGCTCGTTTGAGTTTTGTCAGGAAGAAGGATTTCCGTACGAACTAGTACTCATAGTCCAATTTAGAGGAAAGTTGATTGACTGTCTGGTTGCAGAACTAAGTGTGCTTTTCAGGGGGGAAATAAGGAACTGTGGGCGGACGCTGAATAATCGTCCTAGAGAGGAATAGCGGTAAAATCACCTCTCTATAGGTTGACAAGTTTCCTTTGTTTATTATGCTTACGTAACCGAGTCTGTCTCATTTGTACCTATAATATTCTCGAACGACCATTCAGGGGGTTCGCCCAGCGAGCCCTATGAAACGGTTGTTCAGTGGGCTGGCGACCACCTTGAGGCTGTCGGCAGACCTGACAGCACTCCCGCATAGCAGCATATATTAGAGCAAGCTACATCGGGCAAATGAATTCATCATCATCATCATCATATCCTTGATGACCTATGCTTTCTAAGTATAGCATCTCTCTCCGTGCTTCGTGGACGAGCCCTATTATATCTTGAATCGTCTCGCATGATAGAGCTCAAGCGAACTCCCTCGATAGAGAATAAAGCTGTAGTCTGTCTGCTCCCTTCTCGCCTGCCCATAATTTCATAAGAGAGTGTACTCCTGTGCCCCTTATTTTTCTTTTGCAGGGGCCCACGGACGTAGAAGCCAGATGGGAGCTTCGGACGCATAGCATCCACGCATTATTGAAACTGTGGAGTGGCCCACGGTAAAGAGAGCCAGGAGGCAGGCACTGGCGCATGGTATCCACGCTTTCCAGAAACCGTGATGTGGCCTACGGCAAAAAGTAACAGGAGGCAGCTACTGGCGCATGGTATCTTCTTTTACAGAAACTGTGATGTGGCCTACGGTAAAGAGAGCCTGGAGGCAGGTACTGGCACATGGTATCTACGCTTTCTAGAAATCGTGATGTGGCCCACGGTAAAGAGAGTCTGGAGGCAGGTACAAGAGAGACGGAGACAGAAGCCGTGCACGTGATGCAATTTAGCGTGCATATTTTGGTTTAGTACACCCCCTCAATCGCCGCTTCAACATTAATTCTTCTCTCTCCTGCTACTCCTCTCTCACCACCCTTCCCCCATGCGCGCTTTGCTAACGAGGCATTTTTGCCATTGATCTAGTTCACCGAGCCCCCTATCCTATTTGCCTCCGACGCAAACCAGCCGATCCTTTTGCGGTCCCTCCCCGAGTACTCGAGTACGGTCTGCGCTGCTTTCCTTCTCCAGACTCGGCTCGGTTTCCCTTTTGCCCTTGGTTCGCGACCTCACACGTTAATCGGTCGGTCGATCGTCGAACTTGGCGCCTCCAGGTGCTTTCACACTTTGCTCCTGGGCCATCGCCGCTGCACAGCGGGGCTTCAAATCTGCGTTGAGGGCGTAAGGCGCCGGTGAGGGCGTTGGCAGCCTCGGATGATGATGTTCGGATCATTTCGGAAACGAGGAAGACCGGGATACTGCTTCGATGATTAGTGACGCTGTTACAGGAAGTGGCTCCTGTGATGCGGGATCAACGAAATGCAAATTGTCGCATGACGAAGGCATCTCTGCTGAACTCGGACGATTTGAGCGATTGACAAAAAGAGCAAGAACTTGACGTTGATATTCAATGTAATGAGTTGTTGTAAGTCTACAACGAAAACCGTGGCCCGCCTGTAATAGCTTGGAAAGAGGGAAAACCTGGCCCGTCTCAGGGCACATTGTATCGGGAGCAGCAAGACTGCCTGGGATAGCTTAGAGGAGGGGAAAATGTGGTCCATCTCAGATAGGGCTGCTGTCAGGGTACGTAATGGCATTGCGTACATGGGATCAAAATCACGCTGCAACCGTCTTCTTCCAAGACGTTTACGGAATATAACAGGGAAAATGAAGACTAATTACATTTATATAGCAGGTGCCTGACGGGCCACGCAGGGGGTTTTCATTATAGGCTGGGGGGGGTGAGGTCGTTCTATCAATCCCCTATATATGGATTGCCTGACCTGCAGTACAGTATCTGCCTTTCGAAATCCTCATCGCGCGGTTGTGACGGTTGTGCCTTCTCTTGTCTTCTCGAAGTCTCGGTCTGTAATCAACCTTGGCGTTGGGTAGTAGGAGCCCTACAAGTCAGCTTTCTTTCCCTAGCGGAAGACTCTGCCACATACTAATTGTGAAGTAAGAAAAGCCCAAAATCCGGAAGCATCTGCGGACAAAAGATGAACCTGACCCGTCTCCCGGAAGCGAATGCCCACACATACATCTGCGTCGCACATCTTACTATATTCACATGCCTTTCTCATCAAACTTGTTTTGCGACGGCTAGGCGATGTTTAGTGAACCTGATAGAATCTGACAAATATTGGGATCGTGTCAATGGGCGCCGCCGCAGTGACATTGCTGCCGCCCTCAACCTCCCCCTCAACAGTATGCTCGTTATGGCCAACGATGAGACGGCCCCATCGGCTTCCCTTGGGAAGGTATACTTCCCTCTCTGTCTGTCCAGCCTCCATGATCGGAGCGCAGAGGTACTTGTGCCCAAACATGTACTGAGTCTCGACCTCCCAGCACTTCTTATCCTCGGGGAATTCGAAGAACATTGTGCGGATGACGGGGGTACCACAGTTACTCGCCTCCTCCATCAGTTGTCGAATATATTCCCTTAACCTCTCTCTCAGTCTCACAAACTTGAGAAGAATAGGGTAGTTCTCTTCGCCAAAGCTCCAAAGCTCGTTGTCCGCGCCGCTGTCGCACGCTGCTAGACCTCCCTCGCCATTCTGAGGAGTGTAGACGGGCTCACGGCACCCGTGGAGACGCATCACGGGACAGAACGTACCCCATTGGAACCAACGGACTAGAAGTTCTCGAAACTCGGAGCTCGCAGTTTCGCCACCGTAGAAACCCCCAATGTCGGTGGTCCACCACGGGATACCAGATAGGCCCATGTTCAGACCCGCAGCTAGCTGGTTTCTGAAGGCCGTCCAAGAGCTGGCAGTGTCTCCGCTCCAGATGAGGGCTCCGTACTTCTGGCTTCCTGCCCAAGCGCATCGGACAAGGTTGACAATTCCATCCTTGCCGCCCGTGAGCTGGCCGGCCGCTAGCTGACCCTCATAGAATGCTTGCGTGTAACAGCGAGGGTAGAGGTTGCCGACACTCATAACAGGTCCCAGATAGTATCTGTAATTCTCAAACGCGTAGGCGTTGTATTCCGGCTCTGCCTCGTCTAACCAGAAGCATTTGACTCCAATATCATGGTAGTTCTTCTTGATCTTGTCCCAGACATACTTGCGAGTAGCAGGGTTGGTAAAGTCGGCCTGCAGATTCTGTCCCATGAAGTCTCGGGTAGTGTGGATGCCGCGGTCGACACGGACGAGAAGCCCCCGCTCCAGCATCTCGTTATAGGCTTCGGAGCGCTTATCGACGGTGGGCCACACAGATACAAGAAGCTTGACATTCATCTTCGCCAGTTCGTCGACCATGGCCTTTGGATCAGGCCATGCAGTGCGGTCCCATGCCCAGTCTCCCTGGGTTGACCAGTGGAAATAATCAGCCACAATGACATCGAGAGGGATCTGGCGCTTCTTGTACTCGCGTGCGACAGTCAACAATTCCTCCTGATTCTTATATCGCAGCTTGCACTGCCAGAAGCCAAGTCCGTACTCCGGCATCATAGGGGAATGGCCCGTGACATCGACGTAGCGATGGAGAATTTCCCGTAGAGTCGGGCCGGTGACGATCCAGAAGTCGAGCGCACTGGTTGAGTTGGCCTCAAAGGACGTGATGTTCCTGCCAAAGACTGCACGTCCAATGGAGGGATTATTCCACAGGATGCCATACCCAAGGCTACTGACGAAGAATGGCACACTGGACTGCGAGTTCCGCTGAGCAAGCTCAATATCTAGACCCTTTAGGTTGAGGAAGCTGCTTTGATACTGGCCCATGCCATAAATCTTCTCACCTGTACTTTGCGGCTCTATCCGGTATATAATGTGATATTCTGTGGCTCCTGTGCCGTGTGCGCCGAATTCGCGGCTCTGTACTTGGATAGCAGATGTCTTGGGGTCTGTATGATCAATCTTGGTACGATTGTATTCCTCGAAAATCTGTTTTCCAGTGCTCGTGTTCCTCATGGTCAGCTTTCCGTATGCCGTGATCTGGGCTTGGAGGAGTCCATTGGTGATGGAGGCTGTAGAGTAATCCTTCTTGGTTCCGTGCATACTTTGATCAGGTGCGATCAATGTTGGTTGTGTCGATGGGAGACTGATTTCAGGCGTGTGCTGCTCAACTGGTTCAGACAATGCCCAGTTTTGCGGAGGCATCTCTGGCAATTTGGTGCTTCGAACACGGAAGGCGTCCGGACCCCATGGCTTGATCTGGAGATGCTCGCCATCGTAATGCCAGCTGAGGGCGTCATCCTGGGAGACGAACATTATTCGTGGTTGCCGCTTTGTTTGCGACCCTTGCGATACTGGGTTGGCTGTTGAGTTTTCCCTTTGCCTCTAGAGAATGTGGAGACCAATCTTACCATAGTCGAATTTCTGTACGTGTTTACATTTATCGCAAGCTGTTCAATTTATTTCTTCACCCCGGCTGATATTTATTTTGGGGTTCCCATGTGATCATACAATCCCGCACCGGCGGCGGTTACTGGCCGTTTTTGGACGCCGTGCCGCTGCGGCTGTGGGCGGACATATTTAGGCTGAATAGAATCTGCTGACTACTGACCCTTGAGACCATGCTAATGAATGCTCCGAATGGAATGCCTGTACGTGCCACTGGCCTACGTAGCGTTTACTGGCACCCCGTAGCGACGAGTTTGTGGTTCAATGAAAACGGGCGTGCGTGGGTCACAAATATCCATCTATTCCAGGTATCTTTCAATCAATAACAGAAGGTCGAAGAGAGCCATGTAATAAGCTGACGGTGCGAGGCAGGGACAACTTTGCCGGACTTAGGCAACGTCTCTAGTTAGCTTTGCCGACTAATAATCGAAATCGTCCCCACCATGATCCTCCCGAGCCCCTGCATCATGTAACATCTTTGGTACGATGTATGAAGATGCCCTACGTTGCAAAACGGTGAGTGGACTAATACGAGGACCTGACGGGATTCAGGAACACACATGTTATCAGAAATGAATGCACCTGATTGTGATTCTTTGGAAGTACTAGTGTAATACTGCGTCCTCAATTGCGATGCACTAAAGAACGGATGGGAACAGGGTTGAGATGGAATTTGATGCCAGAATGTCGACAATGGTAGATCTCCGTTGTTGGAATCCTTACGCTGCAATACTATCTAGTATCCTCCCAATATGACACGTCCTACTTTGTTCAGGTGCCAAGCTTCGAGCGGGCTTCGGGCAAAGCGAACGACATGACTCAGGGGAGTTCTATATGGATCAAGCGTGCCGAAGGCGTAACTGGTATCTCAACCTCCAACTCCATCGGCGACAAGTACAGTCCAGTCTTCCATTCCCTTGGGTACAGCGTTTCTACTGACGCCTTCGCACTGCTGACCTGTGGAAGAGGGATGTTGCACTTCGTCTCCCCTCCTCGTCGCCACACGCCGAGGTAAATGTGCTTGCCAGCCTGCAAGCCCAAGACAACCCAATGCTCGTTCCACTGGCCGAGGCCAAGTGGCCAGAAAGGTACTGACTCCTTAATGTGATGCCTGATCTTCTTGTACACCTTACAGCCCTCGATGACAACCTGGAGCTGTTGATCATTCAGGAGGTCGATCCGCCCGCTCAGGTGGACTCGTCCCAGGATGCTGTTGACCACGCAGTAGGCGTTTAGGTCATCGGTGTATTCTGGTTGAGGATAAGCCCAGGTAGCACTCTGCTCTGGAGTCACGGCTGTGGGGACCGCTGCAGCGAGGGCGGCGTTCAGGACAGGATCCTGCAGGTCGCTGGTCGATTGAATAGAATGCGTCGCGAGCATCTCGTAGTCGAGTCTGCAACCGCCACTGGAGCAAGTCTCCAAAACGACATCCGGATGACGGTCGTAGATGGAATTGATCCAGGCCATATACGCACGACGATGCCCCAACATGCCGTCGCCTGGACTGGCTGCGTTAACATCGGTGCCATGAGTGACGTCGATATTGTAATCCAGCTTGAAATAGCCCACACCATAGTTGATGATGAGATCGTCGACAATGGTGTTCAGGCGTGAGATGACAGCCTCGTGACGGAAGTCCAGTTGGTAACGGCTTTGCTCAATAACGCGGACACCCCGACGCTGGAAGAATGCTTCCGGTGGTAGCTCACCCAGAATAGGGCTGTTTACCCCCACGACTTCCGGCTCCATCCACAGACCGGGAGTCATCCCCTTGGCACGGATGTTGTTGAGCAACTTCTTGAGTCCGCCGGGAAAACGTGTGGTCGAGGGCTTCCAAGCACCCACCGAGTCCCACCAGCTGGGTTCGTCGGCGTACCAGCCGGCATCAATGACGAAGTACTCTGATCCACAGCGTAGGGCAGGCTCGATGAGCGCTGTAACCTTTTCGGTAGTGGGGTCTCCCTTTAGGCAGTTCATGTAGTCGTTGAAGATGAGAGGCAATTTTTCATTGTCGGTATGCTTGCGGCGTATGCGCCTGCGGTATTGCGTGAGTGGCCCGAAGACCGACTGAAACGGACCATTTATGACGGCCAAGGCGGTTGTAACACTGGTAAAGGTCTCTCCGGGGCTGAGCTTCTTTGTCCACTGGTGGTTCTGATCATTGGGCCCTCCAGCGACCAGATACAGCCCGGAAACGATGTTACCAAGCTCCCACTTCCATGCTCCACTGGACTCAATTTGCCATGCGACGGAGTGCTTGCCGTCTCTTTTCGCAAGCACGCCCATGGCGAGTGAACCCGAGGTGGAGAATGTGCCAATGTTTGATCTTGAGATAGAAGCTCGCGTCCCTGGCTTGTCAAAGTCACTGTCCCCGACCCAGTCCATCCCGACATCGGGAAAGTCGAATGCCTTCCATTGCGCCTCGCGGAAGTTGGTGCTGTTCGCAATGACGATCTGGTAGTCGTTGTACCACTCCTCCGCACCACGGTTGAGGAACCCAAGAGAAAGAGAAGCGAAGGTCTCCAAATAGACCTCTTGCGAGCCTGGGTTGCTTACTATGGCGGTAGAGCGGACAACGGGAACAGCCCCAAAGACAGTGTATCTGTTGAGGACCTCGATTTTGGTCAAGGGGTCCTGTGTCACGATCTCGAGGATGTGGGTGTCCTCGCCCTCTATGGATTCCTTGTGGCTGAGGTAGACGAGACGGCTCGATGTTGCGCTGTACACTTGACGTTCGGAGGTACCAAAAGTCGATCCTTCTCCAAGCAGTCTGATCTGGGTCAGTGGTAGAGCGTGCTCGACTTCTTTCTCGATTTCGTAGTTGGTCACCTGCGTTCCCTTAGGCCGAACATTGTGTAGGTAAATGTGACGCTCGGAGTCGATAAGAAAGTCGAGATCAAGTGTGCCAGGTGCCCAGCGAAGCCAGTCTGCATTGCAATCAAGTCCATGGTTAGTGGTAAGATGGTATCGGTGTTGGTCGCAAAGAGAACTACCTTACCATGAGACGAGATAGACCCCATTTTGTTCTCGGGACGGTCCTACTCGAAGAATGGCCGTCGGTCAGACTTAATGAATGAAGAGATCAAGAGCTAACACTACAGCAATTTTACTTCACTATTGTCCTTGAAATGCAAGCTTGGAGTAGAGAGGATCCCGTGTCGGGATCCGACCCCGCGTTGGGATCCGACCCCGCGTTTTCCTCCCTGCTATCGTCGCATGCCGCAGTGGAGCGGACCCTAATTTCATGCTGCGGCGGAAAAGTTCTATTTAGGACGTGGCCGCCTCTTCCAGGCCGCAATGAGTAATCCATCCGACACAGCCGAGCCGTCTGATCGGCCACTGTCCGATCTGTCGTGTCCCGACACCTCCCATTCACTCGCTTCCAGACCGCTTCACTGAGTCTGCAGGGTAACCAAGTCCTGCTGACGCTGCGTTGAGCCCAACTCCAGACCAATAAGTGTCACTCATCAACAATGCTTGCGAAAATCTAGCACGTCAGCGTTGCCTCCAAGCCGAAACCCTTTTGGGTTAGACTAGACCTCGCCCTCACCCGCGGGTGACTCTCGGAGGGTCACCCTCATACCCTCGTTTTGAGGGTCGAGGGTCCGGTCCACTTACCCGCAGCGAGGGTCACCCGCGTGAGAGTCGGCGAGGGTCAAGGGTCGGGTAAGGGTCAAAAATTTTAAGCAAACCCTCGCGAGGTGAGGGTCGAGGGTCTGGACCTTGGACCCTCGCGAGGGTAATTCCGAGGTCTAGGTTAGACCATGGCGTTATACTTTGAGGAGCTACTCGCAAAGGGGTTGTTTATATCAGCTAGAGTTCTTCTTGGTCCCTGAATCACATCTTAAGGGTGAGGTCTATGGGCATGGCATTTGAATATATTAGGTCCAAGCGGATTCTCAGATATTCGATTTGAGATCTAGGCTATATCCAATACTCCTATAATTCATTCGCTACTATTCATCCGTAGATACTTCCCGCAAATGCTCATTGTACCTTTATTCCTCCATGCCGAACGGGCTGACATCAGTCTTCTTGAACTTGCGAGCCGGCACCTTCATCGAGAACAGCATGTCCAGCTCCTCAAAGGTGCGGTCCTTTGATTCGGGAAGGCAGAAGTAGGCCCACACAAAGACAATGAAAGCCGTACCACCCCAGAAGAAGCCGGTGTAACCACGGAGATTCCACGCCGAGGGGTTCATGAAGTAAGGCTGGAGGACACCGGCGACAATGTTTACGAGGTAGTAGGCGTTGCGTGCCAGACAAATCGTCTTCTGGCGGAGGCGTGTTGAGCCAATCTCTGCGGGGATAGCCCATCCGAGCTGTCCGACGGTCATATCAAAGAGGAGGTTCCAGAACATGGCAAGTCCTGCCTGGGTAAATCCAACCGAGGAACGCTCGGTCCACACGTTGAGGATACCAATGATTATCAGGACTATGGACATGCAAAACATGCCCCAGGTATAGAGGGTGCGACGTCCGAAGTGAGGCATACAGAACAGCCAATTGATAATGGTACCGAGGAAGGCAAGCGCCAGGCCACCGATGCTCAGCGAGTAGACAGTAGAGGTATGAAGACCGAGCTGCTCAAAGAAGTATGACGAGTTATCTAGAGTTCGCCGTGCTGTTAGTTGTCGAAACTTGGATTTTCACGGGAGAACAGTGTTGGTTCTGTGTGATCGAGGAGGGACGGGTTGTCTTACAAGCAAAGTTAGAGCCAGACAGGACCTGGCCTACGAAAGCCATGCAAGCAATCTGCGTGCGGCGAAGTTCGAAACCCTTGAAGCAGTCAAAGTATGTGGTTCCGACTGACATCTCCTGCTCGAGATCGTTGGTGTGAATGATCTCGGCAAGGGTCTTCTTAACATCAATATCAGCAGATGCTCTCTGCAAGCGGCGCAGGCTCATCTCGGCGGATTCGATGCGGCCCTTGCGAACCTCGTGCCAAGGGCTATCGGGAGAAAAGTAGAGAAGAGGGATAAGGAAGACGGGCCACACCCATTGGATAGCAAAGGGGATGCGGAAACCCCACTCATCCTCACGGCCTGAGAGGCCGCGCAACACACCAGCAGCGATCAGTTGTCCGATGCAGAAGCACATGTTGGCCCAGGAAGTGAAATACACTCTCAAGACCAATGGCAAGCACTCGGATGCGTAGGCCGGAGCAGCGGTGGCGAAGATACCCCATGGAACACCAACAATCAGCTGGCCAACACAGAGGACAGCGACGTTAGGTGCGAAGAAGGTAATGAAGACGCAAGCGGCCATGGCGACAAGTGAGGCCAAGAGGACGTGGCGGTGGCCAAATTTGTCGACAACGTATCTAAGGGTTCGAAATCAGGACTGGTGGTCTCGTCACACTGGGAAGGGGAAGATGGTGAGTCTGTTACTTACCCGTTGACCCACGTTCCCGTGAATGCTCCGACAACGGCAGCGTTGCTAAGTCCAGCCTGCCACGCGGCAGTGAGCTGGTAATTTGGGCTTCCGTCGGCATTGTGGCTGACGACGCTGCCGTATTTCCTCTGGAAAGTGGGATATGCGTACAAAGATGGCACTAAGATCTGATCGTAACCTTCCATGATGACACACATGGAGATGGAAAGACACCAGAATATGGCCATGGGATATGCGCGAATGGCATCCCGGACAGTCAGGTTGTGAGCTAGCGCAGCGCTCTGCTGCGCGTCGACAGTGAGCGTCTTTGCATGCTTCTGAACCTCTCCCATGCCAGGCTTCTCAACTAGCCTGTCCAGATGGTCGACTGTAACTTTTCCTTGATCTTCTTCGTTCATGGTGGACAGCGGTATAGGGGGCTGTGAGGTGAAATAGTCACTTGACTGTGAGCGATCGAACAAGGATGGAATGTCAAAAATTCGCGAAGTCGTAATAGACTTATAACGATCTGTACAGGTCGTCAGGCCAATTCCCCACGGGGCATGCTGTGGGGTTTGCGCTGGGTTAGACTTTATGCCCCATAAAGAACATGAGGGGAAAAAGTTAAGTAAATCATTGTTTCGTGCAGCTGAGTGGATCGTTCGGGTCCATACGGAGTACATTCACACACTCAATGGCGGCGTTAAGCCAAATTGGGATCAAGCCGCTCATAATTGCCACTTAGCGGAAAGCAGCCAAAGCCTGCTAGACTGGATAGTATTGGATGGTATTTGAGACGGCAAACACCGAACATGGGTTAATTGCCGACGATTCCCCTTCTAAGCTTTAGTGCCAGGAGGCTCGATGGGGCGGTGCGCCGCCGTCACGAGGGCTCTAGCCTGCCAAATTGCGTAGTTATCAAGACAAAATGGGGGGCAATATGGCCGCTACCAAAAATGCTCCATGGGCGACATTCTTAGTTGTTACCGTCATTTATTGCTTTAACAGTAGTTTTCCCTACCAGTAATACGGTTAGATACTGTCATATGATTCGAGTCGACTAACACCAAGTCCTGAGCCAGCCGCTCCAATCAAGAACCCACATCCAGTTCATCGATAGTAATAGCAGAATGAGACCTACAACATACACGCTGCCTTGACAATAGTTCTGTCGTGCAATCTACGCCAGCCGGCGGGTCACGGCTGTCGCCAATGTCCAAGGCATCGGTATGGTGTACAAAGCTCTGGATCTGCATTAAACATACTACTACATGCCAGTGATCTCCTGAGCCTGGCAACGCTCCAACAACTTCTCAGCACGAAGAAAGATTTTCGTCTTGACCTTCGGGGATATTTACTTGGAAACAACCGGCACATCCACCTGTCCAATACCAGCGGGGAAGACAACATGGTCGACATCCCTAGTTTCAGTGTATGCAGTCTTCGAGGAAGCTCGAACTTGGCAGCCACAAGTGACCAGAGTGCCTAATCTCTGGTCGAGGCCCTTCTTCTGGATGATGATAACAGCAACCAAAGACTCAGGAGGCCGATCGATGGCTTACCAGTCAGAAGGGAAAGTCTTAGCAGAAGAGACCAGTAGATTCAGTCACAACTGAGATCGGTGTACCGCGGTCGAGGCCTGAGCTCAGCGACATTAGATCAGCCTTTCTCAGAACCTATACTGTGACCGATCGAGTCTCGACTCAGCGATCGGCCCGAGATTTGTCAGGGGACATGGAGAGAGGAGCATATCCAAGTTTGGAACCAGATTCATTCCGCATGGGTTCGGTTTTGAACCAATGAAGGGTCTGATAGTAGTGTGCTGCCAATGAACAACTGCCCAAGAATATAAAGAGTAGTATACCAAAGATGTACTTCCTCGGGTTGGCCTTTCAGGGAGCGGCAGTAGATGTCTCCGTTCAGATCCGCAAAAATTCCGCAGATGCAGAAGGAGGCTGCTGTCCTACTCCATCAGCACTGAAACACCAACATGTAGCGTTATCGCTGCCTGAATATGAGTCTCTAATTCTAGGGAAGAGTTAACATGTTTCTTCGATTTATTGGATGCTTCCATATGAAACCGATGTAGAAGGATTCAAATCAGCAAAAGCATACTGTCCGCCAATAGAACATGCTTTGCCAGTATCAAGATAATGACCGAAAGCGTCGCCACCGTTGGTAGCATCCAAGTGCGAAAAATCGAATATCCCAGGTGCCATGAGCGCTTCGAATCCATCGACGTTTCCTCCGAACCCCAGGGAGAGAGCATTGTACATTTCATCAAAGCCTGCCGAGGTCGTGTCTGGTTGGCTCTCGTCCGTGAACTGGGTCTCCAAAGTGCCCCCTGAGCTTGTTCTAGTAGTTGCTGATTCCCAAGTCCTGTCAGAAACGCGGCCCAGAGCTGATGGTACTCCCTGGCTGGGTTCATCACCTGCTCCGCCATCTTCTAAGAGGCGCTGACTGCTTGCTAGCTGCTGGTGGTCATTCGCCTTCAATACGGGTGTCGTGGAATTAGCCGCCGGGGCTCTGAGAGCGCGCATGAGCTTATGACCGAGCCTGCTCATCTCTGCGGCTTTTGGGGACCACTTCCCAAGCTCTTGCAATGTGTCTTGAAGCAACGTAATTCCAGACATAAGATCGTCCACCGCTTGCGGACAATCTTTCAGTGCGCGCCAAGTCACACTCAAAGACAAAGATATTGCATAAGGAACCATGGGAAAAGGAGGAAGAGTAGCGTGTCTCCCACAGGAAGTAAGTTGCTGAACGCGCTCGGCGCTTCGGAAGCGACGTTCATAAGGGATTGTGCCAGGCGTGCTGTATCTGCACGACAACATTGCTAATACGAGATACCAAATCTCGAGGTAATCTGTTCCATGATGAAGAGTTAGCTAATGGAGGCACCATCTATGTCGGCTTTGAGTACTTGCCTTTATGGGATTCTTGTAGCCTCGATAGATCTACCCCAGCGGCGATCTCGGAGAAGGTTGGGAATTCATCCAACACTGTCTGACCCCGTCTTTGCAGAAAGGGTCGGTATATCTCCATTACTTCATCCATTTCGTCCCCTAGCCTCAGCGTAATAGTAGCAACCTGGGAACGGTTATCCCCCTTTAAAAGCGGCCGCGATAGATCAACGTCGCGGTCCGCGATGACAAGGGGGACGCCTTGAAGACATGCGTTTTGTCGATCGAGTGCTCGCAGCGTCCACCACAGATAGCTGCATTGTACGCGGGCCGGCCTGTTCGGGTTCTCGAAATGCAAAGATAGCACAAAGGCGTCGTGGATGGCTTGTGATAAGTAGGCTGAAGATTTCTGCATGCCACGATATTCGTCATGATGGAGCCACATAAGGGCGAGGATTTGGACTTTGATAAGCCTATTCGGCTCCAGATCCAGTTTCATGGCGACCTCCAAGTCTCTGTAAATGGCCTTGGCGAAATCGTTTGGTGCCAAGGTGGGGCCATCGTCTGACAGTCGCAAGTATGGAGCAGCTTGTTTCGTCTTGCACGATGTGAGGCATATCGCATTTACCAAATATGGAGATGCGCGACCCATTGTGTAATCTCGAAGGATCTGTCCGCCGTCGACGATTGGAATGAGTGCGTCAAGGCTTGATATGTACGTGGTAATTAAGGCATCTTGTGTGTCTCGGGGCAATGCCAATGCTTTGAGAGCACCGGCATGGTCACAGTAATGTTCAGCAACCCATGTTTTCGGCTCGCAGGTAAGATCGTATTCCCATCTATTCTCGTGGCGCTGGATAGTCTCAATACAACAGCGCGATAATGTGTTCCTTCGGCCAACAAGCTGAGTGACAGAAGAGTCGTACGGCTCGCGGTAGTCTTGGGTTCCCGGTCTATCCACCATTTCCCCTGGTGTTTCCGCAGCCAACTCGGTGAGAAGCGACTCTGCATGGTAATCGCCAACTTGGATTGGCTCACCAGATGTCTCTGAGGGGTCGTCTGATGACTTGGTGACATCTTGTGGAGGTTCTTTAAGTGTGTAATCGATACATGTTGTGCCCGGCGACTGTGCGCCACCGCGGCCGCCCGGAGCTGACCGGCTATGTCGTCGTTGAGAGAGCGATCGCGTATGGGGGCATTTCTTCTTGCGCCTCTTGCAGTCATTGCACGCCTTTGCGGCGCGTCTCTTCTGCGTCCCAGTCGCGGTTTTAAGCTCCCAGACGACCTCCATTGCGTCCTTGCGCCTGTCCCTTGATCCCGGCCGGTTTGCGCAAGAAAGTTCTCTGGAGTCGCCAGGAATGATGTGTGGGAAAATGGAACTCTGAACTAGCGCTGTGCGTCCTTGCTTTAGTACGCCGTCCTGATAGAGTGAGTACAATTCACCCAAGGAGATCAAAATGTATCTTTAGCTGGCGATTAGTTGCGACCTTCTGGAACCTGTCGCTGGCATGGAGGCCTTGTCATGCATCAATCCATCTGGTTGACGCTGGCGAAACTTTGCTGGCTGCCCTGGAAAATAGATGGTCCGGTCGCGTATCTTCGGTCTAGTGCGCGGAATCGAACTGAACTGTGGTATGAGCCTGAGCCTTTAAGTGGGTATCTAGACATCCGTCTACGGCCAAAGTGCACTTCAAATGATTGTCGCAAAGTCAAGTTGGTTGAGGTACATTGGGTTGTGCGGCCGCTGTGGACGTTAAATTGAAGGGAAAGAAGGTCGCGAGCCGAGGACTATTACGGCGGACTATAGGGGCAACTTCCCCAAAACCCCCAAATCCTACTAAGTCCCTTCACCGCTTCTTCCACCGCCACTAATTCTTCTACCGCCCCATGCGCCCATGCACTGTAACCGAGTATCTCTATGCAGTAGTAATCACACCGATATCTATATGACTCACTGCAAGCTCGTCAATTCAACCTAATTGGCCCTACTCAAAGCCTCGTTTCCTAGTATGATGTATACTAATGTGGCTAATTCGGGGTCCTTATGCGTTGCAAGTAGAAGGCTAGCCTAGTTCTATCTACCTCACAAGTACCACAGGTCAATCCACTACTTATAAAGCTTCCTCTCTGGTATTCAATTAAAGCTTTCTGGTTTATATGCTAAAGATGCCTCGTCCTCGAATTGATTTAAATCCTTATAAGGATAAGATTTCTACTCTATTTCATTAACATAAGACCACTGAGACTATCTGCCAAGAACTCGCCCGGCGCTATTTAATTGATATCTCTTACAATACACTTGCCCGCCGCCTATATGAATGGGATCTCCGTCGGTTACCTTCGAAGCTAATTGATAATAAGGCCCTTTGTGATCGTATAAGGGTACTTATATATGATAATTACTCCGATTCAGAGGCACTTTCACAGCTACATAAGGAAGGTTTCCAGATTTCCGAGAAAGCTCTAAAAACCATACGGCAGTAGCTTAGTCTTCGGCGGCGGATAGATAACCCTGAGGCACAGCGTATATAGGAGGATCAGATTACTGAGGTCCTTAGGCAAGAGATTCAGGATGGTTAGTCTATCGCACAACCCGGGTTTGGGTCGAGATATCGGACCCGGACCCGGACCCAGCCTGGGTCCGGGTCGAAGTCAGCGAACCCGGACCCAACCCGGACCCAGCGCTGGGCCCCCAATGGGGCCCCAGTAAAACCCAACTTTGCATAAAAACAAACTCTTGGCGTTCATAAAGTTGCTAAATAATCAACATGTAATCTTCGTATTTTTTTGTGTTTTAGATCGAACCCATATGAACTCACTTATTCGACATCAACTTTATATGACTAAACTAAATAGACACTTTATATCATTTTATATTGGCCAGATATTAGTTTATTACCAATAAAAATTAAAGATAATCATGGTTGTAGTGGTATTTGATAATTTAGGTTTGCTGACATGGTTGAAGTTGTAGAAATATATTTTGAATACAGTGTAAAGTAGTCACTCTATCCTTACACGTTGAGATCTCCTTTCGACTACTACTATCTCTGACCGCGGTCAGAAAATTAATTATACGATTAAAGCCTTATTCTACTATACTTTCTAACCGCGGTCAGAAACTCTAGCTGAGGGGATCTTACAGTGAGCGCGGGTAGAGCCCGAGTACTAATACTCCTAGTTTCTGACCGCGGTTAGAAACTCTGGCTGAGGGGATCTAGCAGTAAGCGCGGGTAGAGCCTGAGCCTTAGTACCGGCATTAGCCCGTTATAATTGCTGGGTTTTGCTGGGTTTTGCTGGGTTTTGCTGGGTTTTGCTGGGTTTTGCTGGGTTTTGCTGGGTTTTGCTGGGTTTGGCTGGGTTTGGCTGGGTTTGGCTGGGTTTTGGCTGGGTTTTGCTGGGTTATGCTGGCTCTAACCCACTTAAACCTATAATATATACCAATTAAATGCTAGTGAAGTAGGTACTTTTGATAAACGACGACTTGATCGTTCAGCTCTCTATTCACAGCTAGGGTAATACGTCTTCTGCCCTTTGTAAGTAAATCCCTTCTCTTATTCTTCCCCTCGTAATTGATCATTTATTTATTTCGCCTATTATGTCCCAGAGCCAGCAATCTAATTTGACATCCTCGATTTATGATGGAGATATAGACAATCTTGGTTATCTTACCCCTTCAAACCGACTTGGTACCCCTGAACCATCCACTAGCCAGCAGACGTTCGATCTCGACTCTATTGACTCCGAATTCCTTCGTCCGATTATTCCCCTTATACCTCCTACCTCACTTCTACGTGTTGGTCCCGATCGGAGAAAGGCATTTGTTCTTTATGACAAAATGACTCATACCGAATGGGTCGACTGGTGGTTACAGACTGATTTTGGAAGGAAGAGCAAGATCCATTGGGACTCAAACCACCAGTCTGATGTTTGGGGTAGGTTTAACCAGGTTGCAAATAGTATCGATGGGGCACCAAAGGTTATGTGTAAGAATTGCGGCCAGATTCTTGAGCATCCTTACACTATCCATCCTCATCCAACGGGCGACCGGAAAGCACAATATCATGGCACATCAACAATGTCAAAACATATCAAGAGCGCAGGGTGTCGAAAGGCTAAGGGTGGATCAAAGCTAGAGATCACAAGATTCCTCAGCAAAGCTGTATGTTCTATTATAACTTAATCTTTTATTCTCCTTACTAAATTTTTTTAGGATGATACTCCGACCGAGGCTCCTTTCTCACAAGAGGCCTGGGAGGAAGAGATTTTATCCTTCTTATCTCTTAATCGACTCCCATTTCAACTTATCGAGCACCCAACGTTTCAGAGCCTAATTCAAATGGCTCGCACCTCTCTATCCACCCCGTTTATCCCCTCTGCTGATACAATTCGTCGTCGGCTATCAAGCACAGTTAAGAGTCGGCAACAGAGTGTGCTTCAGATGCTTCCATCTCACTCAAAGATATCTATTGCCCTTGATTGCTGGACCTCTCCCTTCTCACAGGCGTTTATGGCAATCACTGGCTATTTCATTGATAGCGACTGGGTATATCGAGAGGTGCTACTAGACTTCAAGCCTATTTATGGGGCGCATACTGGTGCAAACCTAAGTAGTGCGCTGATAGAGACCCTCACAGAACATGGAATCGAAGATAGGGTGTTTGGGCTGACAACAGACAATGCATCAAACAACAAAACTCTTATGGAATCCCTTCAACAGGTTTTACCGGATGGTGTTATTGTTATTCGAATTCCTTGTCTTGCCCATGTTATCCAACTTAGCCTGAACCAGCTTCTTGGACACATCAAGGCAGTTCCAGAAAATGAGACTACAGAGACAAAGTGGACTGATCAACAGTCTAAAATGGCCCAGCAGAATGCACAACAACAGCAGCGAGGGATTTCTTCTACGCTGAATAAGATTCGTTACCTTGCAATATATGTGAACGCTAGTCCCCAGCGCCGGGAGAGTTTTTACAATCTCCAGCCCCAAAAAGTCAAGATTGCCCCAATCCAAGATGTGAAGACCCGGTGGAATTCAACATTCCTAATGCTTCGCCGCGCGAAGAGACTACGGTCTGTTTTTGGCCCTTTTTGTGAAGAGTATGCTCGTCTTGATCTGCTACCAGATACCGAAGAGTGGCGTCAAATTGACTATCTTCTTTGTATCACGGAGCCATTCTTTGATTATACTCTACAACTCTCAAAGACTCGGGATATTACTGCACATTATACTTTTAAGATATACAACCGGCTTTTTGAGCATCTTGAACAGTCAATGAAGCAGCTCAGACGGAAGCGTGTTCTATGGAAGAAACAGATGCTTGATGCGCTCGAAGCTAGTCGACTAAAGCTTGACGAATATTACTCTCAGACTGATCATATCCGAGGGTATATCTTTGCGATATGTACCATGCTTGCGCCTGTGAATAAGTTTCAATTCTTTCAAACTGATGACTGGGATCAAGAGTGGCGCGATAAATATCGCCAGGCATTCCAAAAAGCTCTCGTACCATATCAAGATCGGCTTTCTCATATACAAGACTCGCAACCTTCTTATAATCAACCTCGACCAAGTTCGAAGCTTGATAAGATGTTGAATAGTAATAGAAGACAGCTGTCGGGAGTCACAGATGAGATAACACAATATCTCGATAGTGGTATGTTAACCCTAAATAATATTAATATTTTACTAACTAGTTAATAGATACGATTGAAATTGCGCCTCTTGGTTTCTGGAGAGAGAATCAACACCGCTTTCCAGCTATTGCAGCTCTTGCAAGGGATATTCTCTCAATACCAGCAACAGGCGCTGGTGTTGAACGACTATTTAATACCGCTCGAGATATCTGTCATTACCGCCGGGGAAGAATGAAGTCCGAAACAATCCAAGAGCTTATGATGTTCCTTTGTACTTCAAGATTCGATCTTGAGGAGCAAGAGGCTAAGCGACTTGAAGAGTTTTTTACACAAGACGAAATTGAAGTGGCGAAGGAAGAGAAGGATGAGAGACCCGATGGGGTTGAAGTAGACCCAATTAGTGATACTGAAGAGCTAGATAAAGGGGATAAGGAGAATAAGGCGATAGAGGATATTGAAGATGATATGATTGAGCCTAAGCTACCGGATAATGGTACGCAGCTCCGATTATCAGGACGGAAGCGTAAACAGCGAGATGATGATAATTTCCAGTATCACTAGTTAGCTAAAATATTATCTTCCTACCCTAAATCTACATACTCTTGATATAGATAAGATGCAAGAGAAATACCCAAAATTACAATAAGAGATTGTATAAATTATGCAGTGAGGATTCCTTGGTATATTTGTCTTATTTGTAACCCAATTGGGGCCCCAGTATGGGTCCGGGTTGAGGGTAGTAACCCAGAACCCAGCGCTGGGTTGAGATTTTGGACCCGGACCCAACCCAAACCCGGGTTGGGTCCGGGTTGGGTCCGGGTCCGGTTGGGTTCTGCGGAAGCCTAACAGTGGGCTCGTCGCTATCAACACTTTACACCTACTGATTGGGCCCGTGTTTATTGGTCTGATGAATGTACTGTTGAGCGAGGAATTGGGCTACGCCGAGATTGGACCTTTATCCGCCCTAAAGACCAATGGAAACAGCGTCAAGTCCATGGTTTACCACACCGTGGCTTTCAGGTTAAGCAGATGTTTTGGGCTGCTTTCTCGGCTACTCGACGTACCGGTTTAATACCTCTATTCGGCGATCCTGAATCTGAAAGAGGAGGTGTGAATCGATTCGTGATTGAAGAGCTATATCGTCGGGTTCTTCCTACGTTACTACCTTCAGAGGGTGGTATTTTTATGCATGATAACGCACCTACACATACTGCGTATGTAGTACGCGATGCATTAGAAGAACTAGAGATCGAGGTAATGATCTGGCCGCCTCATTCACCAGATCTTAATCCAATTGAGAACCTCTGGTCGCTTCTGAAGGCTGAGATCTATAAGATACGACCCGATCTCATCGATATGAAGAATAATGAGACTACTAAGCGGATATTGGTGGAAACTGCGCAAATTGCATGGCAAAATATCGATATGAAGCACTTAGAGCACCTTTCTGAGACTATGCCTAATCGGGTACAAGCAATTATTGAATCGGAAGGGTGGTACACGCCTTACTAGGTAGATTCTATATGTATATAGTGGTTAATATGCAATTCATGGAGTTCTGGCGGAGGTTTTGTGACCGGCAGTATATTATGTAATTAGGGTGGTGTGGGGCGGGGGGTGCTGAAACTTTTGCGTAGTCACTGTATCTGATATCTCTGATCACGATGGAATTTGGACACCTGAATTGGCGCTATACCCAGTGGGAACCAACCTGTTCGCCTGAAGCCTATCCTTTTATCACATCCAGACTCATCCACATAGACAAGGTGGTAAGACTGAAAGTCTGAGATATAGTGAAAGTATTCGTCACGGAGCTCTAGGTTGCGCTCTCGGGCCATGACGCGGGCAGTCTTTTTTGACCAGCCTTTGGACCTAAGGGCACGACTGATGCTTGCTTTCGTCGCGAGAAGAGCGAATTCGTCCCACAGGAAAACCGCCATCTCGTCGAGGTACAAGGTGGGTTTCTCGAGCAGGTGCTCGCATAACGCGTCGAGCATGACTGGAGTGATGTTACGGGGTCGTCCGCCCTTATTAGGCGGTGCTTTCACGCTGCCAAATATCCGTATATTAGAAGAGATTCTTCGAATACTACTCTTGTTGCATCCAGCAGCCTCTGCCATCTCCGAAACAGATAGTTCCCCACTGTGGATCATGTCATAAATAAGCTCATGCTTGGAAGCAGCTAGGTTTGGAGCCATCTTTGGTTCGACCACTTGTGATTGATTGTTAAGATGAGGCGTCCCGAGGACGTCTATGTTGGAGGAGGGGTAATGAGGTACCGGATGTATTGAATTTACAAGCGAATACGTTCCCGTAATTGATGTGTAATATTTGTAAGAAGCAATACAACGTTGAATTGACAGGGGTACTTCGGAAAACTCTTAAAATAGACTAGTGGATCTTGGTGGTGGGTCTAGAGAATCTCTCGAAGTGTGTAGGAAGGTGCACCGGTTTTGAGACGCACTGTAAAGGTCGATAGCGCGGACAGGATAGAAGGCACTACGAGGACGTGGTGGTTGATAAGATACTGATATAAAACTGTCGTGGTTGTGTGCCGAGCGGGAGCTAACCCCGGACCGATGACGGACCCACCACCGGGAGGGCCCGAACCCCCTCCCACAAACACACAAGAAACCACCGCCAGCTTCACGGACGACGATCTCGAAGCCAGTACCACCGCTGGAACCAGAAGGAGAACCCGAAAGAGAGATGCGTTTGCTCCATCGGACCCCGCCGGCCGAATCACCACCAAGGAGGTGTGGAAATTGATCGGCACGCTGAAGGACGTGATCCGACACCAAACCGCAGCCATCACAGCCACGCAAAACGAACTCCAGGAGATCAAACACAACCAAAATGTGCTCCAAGAACAAAACGAAAAGCTTCATGAGGAAGTGAGAGCCTTGCGAGCGCAGGTCGAAAATACCCAGGCCGTGACTGCGACCAAGACGTGGGCCGCAGTCGCAGCCAGCAGCGGTGAGACCACCGCCCCCTCGCGGAATCACCAGCAATTCGAGAAAGAGCAAAACTGCATCCGAATCAGCACTCAGAGAACATTCGTCGATCCAAGAGACAATGAGAACAACGCCGATAACGAATTTGGGCGATACCTCCCCACCAACACCGCCAACGCCCACATCCGCGCAGCATTACAGAGCGATACTGCGACCCAAGACGCCCAGGTAGCTGGTGTTGGTACCACCAAAACCGGTTACCTTATCAGGTTCAAGAATGCGGAGTCGGCCGAAGCGGCGCGCAATAACACCGAATGGCTACAGAGTCTGGGCAACAACACTAAGCTGGTCAAACCACGGTTCGGGGTAGTGGTGCACCGCACTCCTACTCAAGAGTTTGACCTAGAAGCAGGAGCCATCCAGGCCGCAGAGAAGATCATAAGAGAGAACGATCTGGCGGAACACGGTTTCCACATCGAAGAGCTAGCCTGGATGAAGGCCAAGGACAAGGCCTTAGGGAAGTTCGCATCGCTGGGAGTCTGGTTCGACTCTGCCGAAGGGGCAGAACACATGCTTCGCAATGGATTTATTGTCAGCGAGCACTATATCCCCCATGTGGAACGCCGCGAGATCAAGAAAAAGAGATGCTTTCGATGCCAACGCTTCGGGCACTTGGCATGGTCGTGCAAGGAAACACCGCGATGTGGACACTGCGCAGGGCAACACGAACGCGAGCGCTGCCCACCAGGAGTGAGAGCGCGCTGCTTGGACTGTAGCGGCGATCACCCAACTGGTGACCGACAGTGCCCAACGCCGGCAACCTCGAATCCCGCTAGATGCTAGAGAGAAATCTCCGCATCCTACAGTTGAACATGATGAAAAATGGACCGAGAATGGAAGCACTGATCAACGATCCTCAAAGCCAAGACCTGGATGTCCTTCTGATCCAGGAGCCCTCCATCACTACGTATCGCACACATGTCAACCACAGCGCCTGGAGACTATATCGACCTACGACACAGCTCGATGTTGCCCGGTACCGCAGCCTGATCTACGTCAACAGAAGAGTCTCCACATCCTCCCACCGCCAAATACCATGCGACCACCCAGATGTTGCAGCCATCAAGATCTGGACAGCTAACTCTCAAATGCTTATCTTTTCTATCTACATACCGCCCGTACCGCTTTTCACCGGCAATGATGCATCGGCATTACCCGCCTTCACTGCAATCCAAAGCTCCATCGCCGCGACTACACAAGATGAGCCACGGTCAACCGCCATCGTTGTGTCAGGCGACTTCAATCGACACCATCCGATGTGGGGCGGCAACCACATTGCGCCTAGGTTTATCGAAGACGCCAGCGACCTAATCGACTTCTTCCAAGCCCACAGTCTCCAGAGCTGCCTCCCCCGAGGCACGGCAACCTACTGGGCCCTCAACAACCCGGGACAGAACTCGACCATCGATCAAACAGCAACAGACCGCCCGGACCTGCTAATCAAATGCCACCTATACCACGAGAACTACGGATCGGATCACCGCGCGACATACTCGGAATGGAACCTGCAACCCCAGACGAAACCGAAGACCAGGGCAAGGAAGGCCTACGAGCGAGCGGACTGGACCAAAATCGGCGAGGAAATAATCCGGCAGATGGGCCCATGGAGTGACATTAAGACGCGGCCAACACTTGACAGGATTGTGGAAAAACTCACGTCCACCACGGCACAGACAGTCGACCGGTTCACACCCGACGCACGCCCAACGCCATACTCCAAAAGATGGTTCACCCCGGATCTCAAAGTGCAACAAGTAGAAGTCAACCAGCTACGCAGGAAATGGCAAGCGAACTGCGCAGAGCTCGGACGAGAACACGCTCGGACCCAGTCTGCCTTCCAGGCTATGCAACAGAAACGTCGAGCATGGACTCGAACCATCGAAAAAGTGAAAGCTACGCACTGGAAACAGTTTCTGGACGAGGCAGGCGAGGGGAAGCTCTGGAAAGCCGCGACGTACATGAAACCCCGGGAAACATGGGGCTGCATCCCGACACTGCAAGTGGGTTTGGAGGAAATCACTCGGAACGAAGACAAAGCGAAAGCGTTTCTCGACACGTTCTTCCCTGCCATGAATACACCAGAGCCCGGCCCGCCAACCTCGCCACACCCGGAGCTTCCGTGGCCCCCGATCACGGAACTAGAGATTGAACGAGCGCTGAGGTCCGCGAAAGGGACGACAGCGCCAGGCGAGGACAACCTTCCGATGCTGGTTTGGAAAAACCTATGGGTACACCTAAAAGCCGTGATTGTACGTATCTTCACGGCATGTGTAGATCTAGGACACCACCCCAAACAATGGCGAAGTGCGAAAATCGTAGTTTTACGAAAACCGGGAAAACCAGACTACTCAGTGCCAGGCGCGTATCGCCCGATATCACTTTTGAACACACTCGGCAAGGTCCTGGAAGCAGTGATGGCCCGGCGGCTGTCTTACCTCGCAGAGAAACACGGCCTGCTCCCGAACAGCCAGTTTGGAGGGCGACCGGGCAGGACCACAGAGCAAGCCTTACTGGTGCTATCTAATGCGATCGACAAAGCATGGTACAGACATAACGTGGTGACACTGATCTCATTCGACCTCAAGGGCGCTTTCAACGGGGTGAACTGGGTAAGTCTGGATGCCTCGCTACAGGCAAGAGGGATCCCAATGGCAGCAAGGAAATGGATTGCCAGCTTCATGGGTGATCGACACGCCAACATTGGATTTGACGACTTCCGAACCAAGTCAGAACCCCTCGCGAACGCAGGCCTAGCGCAAGGATCACCACTCTCTCCCATCTTGTTCGCCTTTTTCAACGCCGACCTGGTTGACCAGCCCGTCGATCCCCACGGAGGCGCATCGGCCTTCATAGACGACTACTTCCGATGGCGAGTGGGCTATTCAGCCGAGGAAAACCTAGCCAAAATCCAGTCCGAGGATCTTCCCCGCATCGAGGAATGGGCACGCCGAACCGGATCCCGTTTTGCAGCAGAGAAAACCGAGCTCATCCACCTAACCAGGAGAAAAGGAGAGCACTCAGTGGGAAAAGTCACATTCAATAGAACCGACATCAAGCCATCGTCAACGGCCAAGCTGTTAGGAGTGGTGTTCGACCACGGGCTCCGCTGGAAGGAACACGTCCAGCAGGCCATCAAACGCGCCACCAAGACAGCTATTGCCTTAAATGGACTACGACACTTGCGGCCGGAGCAAATGCGACAACTCTACCAATCATGTGTCACACCCACCCTAGACTATGCATCGACGGTCTGGCACGACCCGCTCCGAGACAAGACCCATCTCCGCCACTTGAACACCGTACAGCGAGCCGTACTAGTCCGAGTCCTATCAGCATTTCGAACAGTAGCGACAGTAACGTTGGAAGTGGAAGCCCACATCCTCCCCACTCACCTCCGTCTCCGACACCGAGCGCAACGCACCATCGCGAGATTACACACTCTACCACGCGACCACCCAATCTGGAGTGCACTGTCACGCGCCCAGAATCGTAGAAACAACGTGGGATCATACGCGCGCTTCCCTTTAGCGGAGGCGATGAAGACCATGGACGTCGACCGGCTCAACGAACTAGAGACGATCGACCCACGCCCGCTGCCACCGTGGCGAACGAATGCTTTCGCTGAAATCGAACTCGAGCGTGATCGAGAGACAGCGAGAGAAAGGGCGGAGTCCACGAGAGCGACATCCGACGTTGTTGTCTACTCGGACGCGTCCGGGCGTGAGGGCCACCTGGGAGCGGCTATTGTCACGCTCAATAGTGACGAAAAGGTGATGGAATTCCGCCAGGTACAGGTGGGCCCGATGGACCGCTGGTCGGTTCACGCGGCAGAGCTTATTGGCATCTTCTACGCGGTGGATATGGTGTTCAAGCTGGTCCATCAACGCACCGACCGGGAGGACGGACCTGTGTCAACAGCAACAATCCTATGCGACAGCAGATCAGCCCTACAAGCAATCGAGAACCCACGTAATAGATCGGGGCAACGCATCGTCCACGCAATCACACAAGCGGCCTCCGAGGTGCAGGCAGCGAATGTCAAGCTCCGCCTCCAGTGGGTGCCAGGACATTGTGAGAATGCCGGAAATGATACAGCGGATCGACTCGCGAAGGAAGCCGCGCAGCCCGGTAAAACCCATCCCTTCCGACCGCTACTATCGAGAGAACATGCGTTGGTCCGCAGCACTGTTCACGCCCAGTGGGAGCAGGAGTGGAAGACAAGCACCAAAGGTTCCCACCTACGGAAGATAGACAGCGGCTTACCCGCGCGGTACACGAGAAAGCTCTATGGGAATTTACCAAGGAATCGCGCCTATCTGCTGACGCAGCTACGCACGGGCCATAATTGGCTATCCACCTACGCGAAGAAGTTCGGCTTCCGCGACGACGAACTATGTGAATGCGGAGCGCGGGAGACAGTCACCCACGTACTATTGGAATGCCCAAGGCTCAGAGAGCTGAGGACAGAATTGAGAAGAAACGTTGGAGATACGCTTAGCAGCGTGTCGAGTCTGCTGGGAGGCTCAAACGAAGGTGAGAAAGGTAAACCAGACATCGTCTCGAGGGCAAAGACGGTTCACGCCGTATTGGACTTTGCCGAGGCGTCACAGCGGTTTCGCAGTCGTGCGCCATGAGAGCAGCCTAACAATGGGAGCGGCAATGGGCCACGGGAGGCCGTGACGAGGCTCAAAGATTCTGTCAGGAAGTGGATCATTCTATGTGTAGATACCCGGTATATAGTTGTCGTATACTGCATATCGCTTTGGCGAGGGGTCAGTGTAAATGAAATCACACACACACACAGACTGTAAGCCTCTTGAGATTTTTGTTGGATATAATGCCTCTTGGTTCTGCTGTAGTCGAGTATGAGGTCTAACATCGACTGTACTTGCACCCTTATGTTAAGCTAAACGAGTAACGCGAGTTATAATCGCCGTATGCTTACTGTATAGTCTTGGAAGGGGTGTAAGTCTTGGGACAAAGCTGTTAGATAGTTAGAGGTAGACTTCGGCACAACCCACTCTAACCCGGACCCAACCCAACCCAACCCAACCCAAAATGGGTTTTGGGTCCATTGCTTCGACCCAACGATGGGTTTTGGGTTATAGCTCATAACCCAAAACCCATTGGGTAACCCATTGGGGCCCCAATATAGTGCAAACAAAACAAACCAAAAAATTATATGGTTGAAATTCAAAGATTTGAATATATATATATCTAGCATAGTAACTCAATTTCAAAACAAAAACAAATTTATATAAAAAGCATTTTATACTATTAAAAAAGTATATTTAAAAATGCCAAGACTTGGATTTTATGAATTTTATGAATTTTTATGCAAAAATGGGTTCAAATGGGTTATTATTGGGTTATTGGGTTTAACCCATTGGGTTTTGGGTTGGGTTGGGTTATAGAGGGCGGAACCCAAAACCCAATGGGTTGGGTTTTGGGTCGGACACTCCGACCCAAAATGGGTTCTGCCGAAGTCTAGTTAGAGGTAGCTTACTAATCAGTATAGGATATATTCTCTTTCTATTAATAAATTATACAAGGCCCTTATAAGAGCCATCTATAAACCTATGGAGGACGCTTTCAGACAGCGCCTTCTAACTTAGCTAATACCATAGAAATCTTAAGGGAGGTAGGTCCTAACCAGGCTGTGGCTTTACTGTTATTGCAGTCTTGTATATCAACTAGGTGGATACCTATTAACTTTGTGCTGCCTTATATCTACGATTTTTCTAATATCATATCTTTAGGTGGAATGAAGTTAACGTTTGCTTAAGGCCAAAATTTTCCAACTTTTCTACGGTAAGATCTCTAGCGACTAAATATCTATAAATAATCGATCGTAGCTAGCTGTGAAGAATTTGCCGTTCCTTACCCTTAGACCTGGCACTGCACCTCGGGTAACCCTACCGACCCTGCACCTGCACCTCCATTTGGGCGGTGTAGGTTCAAAGATTCCGACCCTCAGGTGCGGTAGGTTGAGCACCGCACCTCATGAGGGTAACCCTGAGGTGCCCCTGAGGTGCGAAAACTATGACTAATATGCTAGAAACGTGACTTGGGGGTAATTGCATAAATTATGTAGAATTGGGCTGTATTCTTTTGTAATTGTAAGCTAAAGATTTATTACTGTATAGCCTTACAAGAGGATTGAGTGCATATCATAGGTCATAGTTTCATGTTTGAATAGGGCTTCAATTCTCACATTTGCAGTGATAATATCTATTATACAGTATGTTCTCAAGAGTTAAACTATTAAGTTATATACCCATCCAGTAGTCTCGATTTCTTCCGCATCCTACCTGATACACGATGCTGTGTATCAGGTAGGTCAGGCGACACGGAGACCCTGCCCTTATCTATCTCCGGAAGTTCATCGCCTTCAGATTCCTCCTCATCACCAGAAAAGACCATAGGGCGCTTCCCGGCAGCAACTGCTAAGAGTGGTGGTATATCATGATGTACCTCAACATCTTCCTCATCATCACTGATAGCGTCGAAGGAGTGTGTCTGGATGTCAAGTGCTTCAGCTGAAGCTGCCATTTCATGATCCATAAGATACTCTTGCAGAATTAGCCGCTGCTCCTCCTTCAAGTCAAATCTTGTTGTACACATATACAACATGATATCGCGAATAGTCTCTGGGTTTAATGAACCCCGGCGGTAGTGGCATATATCCCGGGCAGAGTTAAAAAGACGTTCAACTCCAGCACCAGTCGCTGGAATTGACATGATATCACGGGCAATGCGGGCAAGAATAGGGAACTCTCTTTGATGATTCTTCCAGAAGAGTCTAGCTGAACCATCGATAGTATCTAAGAATATTAGTTTTATGATCATATAGACTTAGTGCTAACTTACCACTCTGGAGATATTTAGTGAGCTCGTCATATTGCGGACCAGTTGATCCCTTTGAAAGATCACGCCCACATGCCCTCTCAAGCTCTGACTCGGTTGTCATTAAATGGCTATCAGACTGAACCATATCTGATGGTACATGTTGGCGATACCTCTCTAAAAGTGACTGGAGACTCTCACGGTATTCCTTTCTGTAGTCCTTTCCAGTCTCTGGATCTGGGTCCCAATCACTTGTTGAAAAGAATTGCATTTTGTTCGACGGTGCTAGGATTGTCCCAATTGCGTAGAGATCACCCTCAATACTATCAGTCATACCATAGTATTTGATCAATTTCTCTTTTGCAGCTTCAAGGGAAGAGAGCATCATTTGTTTCCAGTGAACCTTCTTCCGCTGAAGTTGAGATATTGACCTTTCAAGATGATCAAAGAGCTTGTTGTAGATCCTGAAGACAAGGTGGATACTCGAGTCTTTGGTACGACATACCAATGTGGTGAATGTAAAAAAGGCTGGAGGATACAAAGTAGATAGTCAATCTGTCGCCACCCCTCTGAATTTAATGCGAAATAGGGTTGATTGAAGTCCGCACAGTACGAATTGTACGTAGTATAAAGTCTTCTTGCCCGCCGGAGCATTAGGAACGTCGAGTTCCATCGTGTACGAACATCCTGGATTGGGAGGAGCTGTGACTGAGTATTGGACTGGAGGTTTAAGAAGTTTTCTTTGCGTTGAGGGCTCCCGTTGATAAAAACTGCAAGACCTCGGACCTATAAGTAATAGTTAGTATTATTCACAGTTCATAAATAGAAGCATACCTTGTTTAATGTATCAGCGATCTCATGCTTCTGTTGGCGCGAGCGGAGTTGACGTAACCGATCGTCAGGTAATTCTGACTCAGCATTATCATTCCTCGGCGAAGCCTTGATCTTACCAAGTAAATCAAGTAGACTCAGTTGAATGACATGGGCAAGACAAGGCACTTGAACAATTGTCGAATCTATCTCCGGGTCTGACTGTAGATCCTTGATTGACTCATTCACCGCTGTGATAAGTGTCTTATTATTAGACGCATTATCAGTTGTCACCGCTAGTATACGGTGAATGATCTGGTGCTGTTGTAGAATTCGAATAACAACTTCACCAAGGTTAACGCCAGAATGAGTACCAGAAATTGGCTCAAAGCCAAGGAGTACCTCACGATACTCCCATTCCTGGTCTAAAAAGTATCCTGTGATAGCCATGAAGGCATGTTTAAATGGCGAAGTCCAACAGTCAAGGGCAATCGACATCTTTGCACTGGGTGGGAGCTGTTGTAGAGTCTTTTGTTGAGACTCTTTGACGAACTCTCGGAGACGCTCACGAATAACCTTTCTTGATGGGATGCTTGGTAGTGTAGGTGCTAGTTGGGCGTAAGAGATAAGGTCGTGGAATTCTTGATGCTCGACAAAGAGGAAGGGTAAATGTGATACAGTGATCAGATTAAGTAGCTTCTGCTCCCATATTTGCTGTGTAAAGGTAGGTACTGGTCTTCTCTCAGCCTGAAATATAGTTAATTAAGGATTCGTCTTAATATTCAACAAGAAATATAGGTAAACATACTGCGTCACTAAGTAGCTGGTGGACACTACTAGTTCCCTGGAGTGCCTGCTTCGGTACTCGTTGTCTACATCTTGGACCATCAAGGTGCTTCTGCATTGTTGATGTCCCTGTATGATTCGTAGCTGGATGCGCGAGAACTGTGCGACAACGTTTGCACATAACGCCTGGCTTTCCATCTTTGGTGTTTGCAACTTGTTGGAACCCTTTCCAGCAATCTGCACGACGTTTGGTAGGACTTATATCCCAATTGAGATTTTGCTTCGACCTACCATAGCCAGTCTTAAGCCACCAATCCACGAACTCCTTTGTCATTTCTGGTGTACAGATAATGAACTCGTTGATACGGTCAGGCTTAATTCGCGCAAGGGTGTCTGGAGCGAGTGGTGAAATGTGTGACTGAGGGCTAAGAAGGTCTGGAACTGATCCAAACTGGCTTTCGGATTGGTATTGGCTCCGGCTCTGGCTCTGGCTTTCGCGTTGGGAGAGGGAGTCTTCGGGGAGGAGGAAGTGTAACGCGTCATATGGCACCCCGTCTTGACTATCGAAGTGAGACGATGGGTAGATGTCTGAGAGCTGAGACATAGTAGGTTCAGTTAGCTAGATACTAGAGAAGAAGAAGATAAAAAACGTACTGATTGCTTTACATGAAAAGATACATGATCTTCTTGGGGCCTCTGTTTGACCCTGTTCAAGATGCTAGAATTGATCTATCATCTTGAGTATCTATAAGTAGATCCTATTGGCTAGTTCAGTGGGTAATTTGTATAGTAACCCTACCGCACCTCAGTGCACCTCACCGCACCTGAGGGGTAAACCTAATTAAACCTCATCGCACCTCGGTACACCTCGCTACACCTCAGGGGTAAACCTGAATAAACCTCACTGCACCTCAAAGTAACCCTCAGGTTGAGAAAATATTATAATCAGAACAGCTAAGTCTAACAACTGGGAAGTTTGAACTCAATTCATGATGTATCTGTGTTAGATATTCTTAATTCTCTAAGACAACATGATAGAAGAAGATTTGACGGTTACAATGATATCAAAATAAGGTGATTTTGACAACATCTTGAAGTTCTTTACACAAAACTGTAGTTATGCCTTTGAAGATACATAAGGTAAACAGCATACTCGATATATATATCTGCAACTTTACATGCTGTTTTGTCA